AATGTCTGTTCATCGTCATACCGATGTTGTTTCGTAGACACAATAAGATTTTGACAAAAGTGAAGTGCTGAGAAAAAAATTGAAAGCATACAGTGCAATTTTAATCTCTTGTACTGGCATAATAAACTTCCGCTAAAGTTATTATTCCAAGTAGAAGTCACATATATAACTAGAAAGTACTTAATTAATAGTTATGTTAATTGTTAATATAAGTTTAAAAATCGAAATTAAATTTTCGACTCAGGCAGGACTTGAACCGGCATCGTCAGCGTTCCGTGCTGTTGCTCTACCAATGGAGCTACCGAGTCCTACACCTCGTCGAATTCTTTCAACTTGATGAAATTACAAAGTTATAACGTTTGAAAACTTTAATATTTTTCACATGTTATTGTTCACATGCATGCACACTGGCACCGGCATCAACGCTGACGATGCTGGTTCAAGTCCTGCCCGAGACGAAACATTTTTTCAATTTATTTTCGATTTTTAAATTATAAAGTGTCTTGATATGTAAAACATGTGATAAATATTAAAGTGTTCAACAGTCATATATGTTCATTTTTATAATAAGTTACGTGAAAGTAACGTAAACGGTGGATCACAGTACTTTAGGCATTGTTAAGACTCTACATAACTTATTATCTATTCCGTTCCTAAATTAATGATAGTAACTTGATGGGCATCTAAAGACAATAACTTGATTGTACTAAGACCGTACCCAACAATCAACGACCCCTGTTGTTAGATTTATATTTAAAAAATGCGTACATATAGAAATCGCTCAGCGTATAACTTACAAGAAAACAGATAAGAAATAAAGTAAGCAGTACACCAGCATTGTTGGCAGTTGGGCTTATATTCTACGCTCGTACTTCAATGTACTAAAATATTTATTCTCCTTGACTGTATGCTTAATTTCATTATATTCTTCACAAACGGGTATTTTTAAACGCTTATTGGCAATAAATTACGTAAAAATATGCTTTCCTATTTTTTCTCAGCACTTCGCTTTACTGTCAATATCACATTGTGTCGAAACAACAGTGGTATGTTAATGAACAGACATTGTGCTATTATATCGATGAATATAATAGCTATTGTTTTGTTGTATGTATTTAGTAGCATTCATATACACTGTCTACTAACGCTATAGCTATAGCTAGTTGTCATCTTTTTCATATTATTATTACACGAATAAAAGCAAATAAATTTAAAAACAGATTATTTTTTTCCACGTTTATAAATATATGGGGCCGCTAGAGGCAGGGATATAACGCAATTATTTAACTTGACTTAATTATTTTCTTTTTACAATATAAAAATGTTAATCTACAAGAGCACAGGACCGAAAATTGTACCATATTTTTTACACAAATAAATTAAATACATTATCGCCTAAGTAACTCACATTGTATATTTTCTACTTATTGAAAATCGTGTTTATTGTTATTAGTCGCCACTCTGCCTCTAACAGTCTCATATATAAGTAGATTGTATATAATTGAAGCTTGCATTCATTGTCGCTACCTCCGTGGCACTATACTCATGACAGAATTGATAGCCATTTCCTACACAGCGCCTCTTGTCGATTGACCGGAAATAGTGGTGGTGTATTTACAACTTCCGGCCCTGGGGATGGCGGGAAACCAATTAATAACTTTTATCGCTTCCGCCGTTGGCATCTCGGACAATTAGCACGGCTATAAAAATCTTCACGGCTGATTGGAAGCAAGGGTAGTTGGCGAATATGAAGGTTTTATGGGCTCTGTCGTATTTGTACCATAAAAAGATACACAGAGAAACTATAAGTTTTCACCGCCTCTATAGCTAAATGGTTAAACGTGTTGCTTAACGTTGCGTTAAGTGTAAATTTATAGCCTTGTTTTATATTAAAATATAGCTTTATCGTCTCTCGCGCTGCAATTTCGGCTATCTACTATGGTATCAATTTCGCTACATACTATATTATATATATTTTTTTGTATATTATTATAACACACCATAATAAAAAGGCCCTAGTGTGAATTTCGCAGCCACTGTGCGGAACTTGCTCAATAAAGCCTGGCTCACTTCTCGATATTGACAAGTAACCTTATATCTACAAGAGAAACTTTTTACACCTTACCTGATAAAAACAGAATTTGGAATCAGATGCTGGAGTCACACTCTTGTTGACCCTTAACCACCCTCATCTTGAGCCACAATGTTGGACAATTACAATTTAAAAGTCTTTCATTAACTGACAGCAAATAACCTACAATAACATAACAAACTTGTGTGTCACAATTAGTATAGGTAGTGAACACATCAGTAATCGAATGAGTGTAGCCTGGGGGGTTCTCCAGATCCACTTACCGCCTATTTGTTGGAAGTCGCGGAACACTGATCAATAAATTGATAGCGAGTTGATATTACATTTCTTCATATGTATTCAAAATCTTATAAGAAATAAATTATCCTTAAGATTATCGGTACCGTTAGGTTATAAAGTATCTTACGAGTGTATATACACCGTGCCCCGTTTCACGATTATAGACTTACTAGGTAGGTCCTACTGTATTTACAAACTTGCAGTGTTTAGATCTTGATGAGGTGTGTTTATACAACCATAACCGTTAAGTTTTCTGTACGTACCTAAGTAATTCACTTATTTAATATTTTTGTCTTTTAAATAAAAACAAATATTAGTAAAAGTAAAATTTTAATCTAAAAACATAATAATTTATTTTTTTTATTAAATAATTTAAAAAAAAGCTGACTCACATTACGTTCTATGTGTACTGAATTTCTAAATGACAAAGCTAAGCCGCATGTCCACTTCGATAAAGCCCCTAGAGCGTTTTATGCGAAGTCTACCAGTCTACCAGATACGGCTGCAATATGAACCCTTAAAAATGTCACATTTACCATTTTCCTACATCGTTGAGTATCGTTTAGGCGCCCGAGGGAGGCCGTAATGACATCACCGCGATAGGCACTCTAGCAACCGAAGATTTTTATCGACAATACATGCTATACTTCGATAGTTTTATCGGAGAAGCGTTTTTGTGAGTCAGTTATCGACTCTTGGGATCCAGGGTACGTCTAAGGCCTATTCTAGTTGTAAGGTAATCGCAAAATCTCATCTTTTTTTTTGTTCAAAATTTTTTCCAAGTATTCGCTACTGGTAACAACAACCTGTAGTAATTCTTACCTGTAAGTTTTTTTATTCCTTCCTTGAAATATATGTACTCAATTCTGTCCTCTGTGAAAACCATATCTGCAATTATCCCTAAAGGTTTGTAGTCATTATTTAATACTACACAGAAAAAAAATTCCTGCAGTTGTATTATTCGTACAGGCGTATATTTTTACAAAAAAAGCCTCATTATTGCCTACTCATAAAAAGACCCTTCGAAATGATTAAATGAAACTAAGACAAACAGATCCTCGCTTCGTAAAAATCCATTGTGAATTCCCTCCCAATATTAATTAGTTCCTCATACTGATTCGAACAATGAGTATAACTTTGGAGGATTCTCACCACGTGTGCCCAAACTTTTCTAATTAACTTCGACAAAAGTTTTTTCGTTAACGACGCTGGACGGAGTGGCTTTTGTTGTAGTTTTAATGTTGTCTTATCTGTTTGTACTGGTTGATGCGAGGATGAGCGAAAAAAGAGTTTAAAGTTTATGTGTATATATATTTTAAGGGCTCTAAAACATAATTTCAACCTTTGTATAGTATGGCTCAGGTCTCCCGTTTCATTACGGCTACCTTCACTAAAGTGCATAGAACGACGATAGCACCTAATTCCAAACTACCTACACAATATTTTTTAAAGTTATACCAAACTAAACGTGGACAGTTTTGATCGCCGTTTTTTGACCACTAGACCAACGCGCAACTGCCGTGTTGATCTAGTGGTCACTAAAAACGTAGTCATACAAAAGTTAGTCACGATGCCCTTCGGGCGCAAACAGACAATGGGTCAGAAATACGTAAGATAATATGGGCTTAAAAGAAACTTTGTTGTAGTAACACATTGTTTATTAAGTACAAAACAAATTAACAGTCTGTTTTAGATATTTTTGCCATTTTTATTTAAGAGCTTCTAAACAGTTACATTCGAGGGACCTTTCTCCGTTCAGGCATATTTTTTGCAACTGAAGCTATATTAATTTAAAAAAATTCAAATAGAAAATAAGAGACTTAATTGATATTGATTATATATAAATTTAGGAACTTTGTAAAAATAAGAACAATCTGTTGTAATAAGTCAACTTAAGGTACATATTTATAATTGAATACCCGAATTTTATAGAACTTTGTTTTACATTACCGTACGAAAAAGTACCTAACTAAAGTATCACAGAGCACCTAAGTAAGCAGTTGTATTGTGCGTTTAAAAACATATTGTACAAATATTTTTTGAGTAACATCAATTCTATATTTTATAAGTAATAATTGTACAAAACCTTTTTATTTAAATATTATTGTATTATAACATTTTTTATCGCATTTTAATAGAATACTGTACCTACGTATACCACTCTTACCTTCGATTGTTGATAACGAGAGGACTGTTAGTTTCCGATTGGTTAAAAACGAGCTTTACTGTATAATACAAAGTGGATTGGTATATCTATCCAAGATAACGAATGCGTCACACCATCGAACTTAAATAATCACAAAGTTCTTTCTGTTAAAATTGTGCACATTTTATAGTAGCACTGAAATATGCAACATCTGACAATTAATTGAACAAGAACGGCATCTAATTTGAAACGCGTATTTTTATCTTTTCAACGATAAAACTATTTCATTGATTGTAGAGTAATTCAGAGATCAATAAGAATGATAAGATATACAATTTGACGATTTTATTACTTTTATCTAAGCACCGACATATGAGGAAACTAGACGCTGTCAGACGTTACTATTAAATTGACAAAGGATAGTTCGTTTAACGTATTTTAAAATTGGTCGGATTATGATACAAACTATGAGAAAGGTCCTCGTCATTCTTTACATCTCTGTTCATACTTCGGATGCCACCATTCTCGAAAGTTTTTGTACGACGAAAGAGAGTCGACCATTTTCTTATCGTTCAGGGCTGCACACAACGCACAGACGTCATCTGATAATGCTGGGTTACTATAGCTATACATCCTCTTCCATCTAAAATAATGACTGTAGGTCTTTTGAAACTCAATTAAAGTCACAATCATAGACGCCAGTTCACCAGGTGATGACTTTTGAGCATCTAAGTAAGAGCCTGGCGGAAGAAACCTGCGAAAGATATTATTTGTTATTTAAAGCGAACACCCCATAGTTAAAACTAAAACTATATTGTGTATAATTAAGAATACGGTACGCTGTAGGTTTGAGTCTCGATTACGTTTTTTTTTTCTATGTTCTATAGCTTAGCAAACAAGTATCTAGCCTTGAGTTCAAAAAGATTTAAAAGTGTCATGTCATAGATATAATTTAAACTTCAATATCTAAAAAGGGGCGCGATAGGTACACAGTCATAGAGATTGTCATTTACGCTCTCGTTGCTCTAATGGTAGTAATGCATGGCTAATATAATATACTAAATAATAATCAACGGGTCGTCGATTCGAGTCCAGTTGGGTCGGATGAACACGTTGGCCTTGGTCTGAAAATCTGGATATTAAATGGATGGTAAGAATATTGAAATTTCGTTTTGTTTTGTCACGAACCAAGATTCACAGATGAAAAAGCCGTGAAGTTTATCGCGTACTGTTTGTCTGTGGATTTTCGGATATGTATCCAAAGTCAAAATAGGTCAACAGCGCAACATGTTGACATGTGGCTTAGGTATTTTACCTTCCACCAAGCCCATGCCCATGCCCATGCTCCTTATCATACAAAATATATAAATGACTATCTATTTAATCTCCCTACGTTGCCTAAAGCGAGCGACAGGATATTTATTTATGGTCGGGTTTTATCTGAAACTTCTTAAAAGATTATCATTTCTTATCAGATGCGTTAAACACACAATTTGCTTGAAATATAAGATATGGTATAGATTAGATTTGACGAGGTGCTCAAGGATTTTTGTGAAATCAATCGCACTTGACGTATGAATAGTAACCATTTGCATTTTAAATCGTGATAATTTTCACATTTTAATGGACGGCTTATAGAAATTTAAGGAATTGAACTCAGCCGAGCTGTTGATTTACCAATTGAGACCGATAAGAGAGATTGGAAACGAACAATAATTATTCTGGTTTCCATATTTTGCAAGTCGAAATCGTTAAAATTACTAACTTCATCAAAATCCAATCAAAATTCATCAACTCTTAGAACTTTAATGGTGATGGGACTTTTTAATGACCATAAACTTTTGCAACTGATTACGTTACGTGTTTTTAAAAGCAAGGATTAATCAAATAACAAACACTGTTGCTAATTATCGTATGATCCAAAAGTTCTGCCATTTTTATATTAGGTACTACACAACATTTATAATATGGAATTTCAGGCATAGAGCTCCAACAACTATAATGAATATACTAACCGAAAAACCACCAAAGATCTTGTATCAAATTTTCGTTGGAAGTATTAATAAAAAAGTGATCTCACCTAGAATAATCGGCTCCTCCTAAAACTACAGGCACAACATCATGCTGCAGAGCCGTCAAGAGTTTCTCCGTAACGTAATCCTCGGAAAAGGAATTTTCAAACGACAAATAAAAGAAGTAATCTCTCTCCAAGAGAGCATTGCAACTATCCTCCCTGTGCCTTGGACATTTATGTGGTCCACATTCCCCATAAATATCCACTCCATAGCCATACCCGTACAATGCCTTGTGCAGCTCCTTCGCGTAACTCAATCTCTTACTTCGACTCTTACAATTAGATACGAACCAAGCAACGGCCTTAGTTTTATTATTTATTTTGAAGAACAAATCTTCATCTATAACGCCTGCATTTTCATCCCATTTCATATTAGGCTTAGGGCCAATAACTTCACCTTTGTAGTTCTTAATTTGTATGTAAGGGTAGGGAATGTCTGAATCGAGTCTATAGGTCGACGTCCAGTTAAAAAAGTCATCGTATTCCGATTTGCAGACTGGATAGTTGTCTGCCGATTCCATATTGAAGTATATGAATTTCTGGTGCTCAGATCTCCTTTGCGGAAGCTGAGATTTAGTCAGGGTGTCTATAGATCGTCCATTGAAACCGATCGCGTCGAATTTCGTGATATCGCCGCCGAGTAAATTTCTATCAGACGTCACAAAACAGTTGACGTACGAGCAGTTCTTCTCGATAAACTTCTTCTGACCGGATCCAAATAGGTAGAACGGTGCTAGATCTGCTGGAGTCCACAACAAGATGAATTTAGTTTCGGTGGGTAGTCTATCGGGCTTTCTGTATACATCCGCGTATCTGTAATCGCGACCGACATTTTCAAGAGCTTCCTGAATTAAAGTTTCGTTCTGAGAGAAGAACGGCTTATCAACGAATTGAATCCAGGTGACTGAAATCGTGAAACTGATGCACGTAAGGATAAAGAACGATCTCGCTGTTAGTATTTGCCTTACATTTGCAACAAACCGACGCCGCATATAAATAAGCATAGGCATTTTAATCGCCACATCGTCACATATTTTCTCTGTCTTTCCGCTTCATACATAGCTTTGATATTCAGAAACGTCGTTTCTTGCACCTGTAACAATAACAATAACAATTAACAAAATTGAGAATGTTGCACACACACATTTTTTTTATTTAAGATGACAAAAAAAATATATTTCATTTTGTTAATTAAAAATGAGTTATAGCTGACTAACATACACGACTAAAACCACTAAACAAATGAGAAGCAATATTGACCTGTATACTTTGCCTCTTTCGTCGTGTATTATGTTCAGTGTGTGTTGTACAATTGTATATACACAACTGTTTCCTTTTATTAATGGTATATACATACATACTATATGTGTATGTAAAAGTCAATACCACGACAGCAATATTAACTACTTAACCATCTTTACCAGGGCGAAATATATGTTCATAGCCATTGCGTTTAAGAAATAACTATACCTATTATATATTATGTACATACCTATATAGTTGTCGAAAGTAATACGAGTGACTATCCAGTCTTTTTTCGTTATAAAGATAAAACTATCTACTTAATTGCAAAAGCAAATCAAAGTGATAAAAAATTATAGCATACTGCAGTGTGACCACACAATAGGTATGGTATATGTAATAGATAATAATATTATTATCTTTAATATAGATTTTATTATTGGAAGTTACTTTAAGTTTAACTTTTGCTGTTATCGATATTCTTAGTGATAAATCGTATTAGGGTTTGAAAACTTAATATTTTTCACATGTTATTGCACATGAAGGCACTATATAATTTAAAAATCGAAAATAAATTGAAAAAATTTTCGACTCGGGCAGGACTTAACCGGATCTAGCTTTCCGTGCTGTTGCTCGAGAGGTGCATTATCAATAAGTTGAAAAAATTCGACGATGAGGTGTAGGACTCGGTAGCTCAATTGGTAGAGCAACACCACGGAAAGCTGACGATGCCGGTTCAAGTCCTGCCCGAGTCGAAAATTTTTTCAATTTATTTTCGATTTTTAAATTATATAGTGCCTTCATGTGCAATAACAGGTGAAAAATATTAATGTTTTCAAACGTTATAACTTTGTAATTTCATCTTCAATGATTTCTGGAGCTGCAAAGCAAAAGACATTGAGCCTTAATAAGCAAGTGTTAAGGTAGAAATTACATTGCGCGAGAAGGTGCATGTATTAAATGAAAAAATTCCGTAGTCTTGGTAGGCAACAGCACGGACTAGATCCGGTTTAAGTCCTGCCCGAGTCTTCTATTTTCGATTTTTAAATCGTATTAGGATTCTTGGTACGGAACCCCAAAAGGGCAAAAAGGCGGGGGTCCCCAAAAATAAAAAAAAACCTTCTTTGTTTTTTAAATCTCCTCCTTTTTTTTTTTAAAACCTTTCTATTCTCATATGATAAAAAAACCATTACACCAATAAAAAAAAGGTTAACCTACAAACTTTGTGTGTTGGGAAGGAAATAAACATTAAATAAAGACGTTATAACAAAACCTGTGTACTAAATAGAAATAAATTACATATTATAAAAAAAGACTAGAAGTCGCAAATTCATTTGATTGTTACATTAAAATATTAATTTCGTTTATAATCATAAACAAAGACGATTGACAAACAAAAAATGCCAAAATATTGGATTCAGAGGTCAATCTAGTTATAATTCAGCAAAATAGAATTGTCCATCATTAAAAGAAAATACTACGCACCGCGTAACCTTCCGCCGTGGACGTATTATACCCGCACATGCGCTGTCAGTTCATCATAAACATGAATCACTTTAATAACATCACTGATTACATGATCTGCACATTTTTACTTGTTATAAAATAATATTGTAATGTTATGTTATAACACTGCATTGTAATGTCTGTACGCTAATTTTGTTTACGAATTCCACGATTTGTTTATTTTCGATTCGTGCTCACAGCGCAACACAACGAGCCGTTCGCGACTGCGCAGTCTCAAGGAAACCATAATGTGAACCTTCATTTATTGTAGAGTGACTCAGTTTTTTATTTGACTCTCGACCCTTAACCATGGCTTAGTATTGTGTCGATAAGAGTGTCATATATCTTAGAAATAATTGCTTTATTAACATTGTGAATTATCTAAGAATGTATAACTTACGTGTAATTTTGTTTTCTTTTTATAGTTAATAAGAAAGAACCAAAACATAGTTAGTTTTTTTCATTTGGAGGTTTTATAGTCATCTTTATTTGCTTTAAGTTAGAAAGGTGTATTGGGTATAAGAATAACCTATTAAATAAAAAAAATGTGTGTCATATTTTTAACTGTATGGGAGATTATCTTTAGACACAAGTGTACAATTGTTAGCACGACTATCGAGACTAGAAGTGGAATCATAAATTATGTTATTACAGCGATTACTATGTTCTGTTTTCGTGCGTTATAAACGTAGCATGTAATTTATAACAAAATTATTATATGATAACAAATCCTTCCTAAATTATAACGTCCTTTAAACACAGAATGAGATTTTTAGAAATGTCAAAATATCCTTGAGATCATAGCTACTCTTTTTACAAGTTAATCGTGTTTTTTTTCTGTAAAAAAATAAATAAACAAATAAAAATAGCTATTACTTACCAATTAGGAAATTACTATCTACCTATATTTTAATTTTGTAATCTTATACCTGCGCTCGGAACCTGAAAAGAACCACCCCTATCGCCTCTAGATATAAAACTCAATTAAACATGCAGAAAATTATTACTAAAGTCGTCTAAGCAATAAATTTAGACCGGTTATTTACTAACTTTACAATACGTAATACTATTTAACACTAATTGGGTTATTATGACTGACCGTCACGTATTAAGCCATTATTTCATTTATTATTTTTACCAAGCAAATAATAACTAAATAGTTAGATATTTTAGACAACATATAATTTGATTTTATAACACAGCGCACTAACTGTCAATAGATTTAATAGTTATAAGTAATATGTATAGGCATTCAATCCAAAATAAAAAATTAAAATACAGATTAGAAGAAATATTTCTTTTACCTTTCTGATTTTAAATAAATAATGTCCAAACGATATATAGGTAATTGATCAAAAGTATTCTATACATCCGTACGTTTTACAAAATATAATATTTATACGCGCTTTTATCGATTGATAACGAAAAAGTAATATCCTGCCACGACCACACACACCAACTTCGTTTATTTAACTGATAAAAACTACGTATTTATCGTGTTGTTCGCGAGCTAACAGGTCAGAATCATTCGATTACGCGAGCGGGTAATTATATCTTAAAATTATTCGTTTTGTTCGATTACTGTGTCCATAGACTATACAATATGTTCGATCTAAGTTCATTTAGAGAAAATTGATCATCAAATTAATTGATCGAACGAATTGAACGATCCAGATCGATTTTGCCGATTGGATAAGTTGTTTCTGTTAGTTGCGATGGACACGAAAAGCCAACACTAGTTAGAATTACCATTGTGCACATGATTTTAGATATATAGCGGACTATTTTGATAAACAAACGTTTATTAAAAATAGAATGCGGTAACCTGAGACATGATAAATATATCAGTTTTATCACAATTGTATTTTATTTTACATCCTAATTGATACAGTAATTAACAAATTGTGGTAAATATTAATAAATTAAGGGCTAATTGCGCTTACGGTGCTTTTGTAGAATTCTAATATATTCGTAATTTTGTGGCTTCATAATTGCCATAAAATACACCCAGTCGTTTCTTAGATAAGTTCGAACAAACACACAAAATCACATCTTCTTTTACTATGTACTGTTACTAACACATTGTATTATGTATTAAAGACAATAATATACTGTAATATAGATTTAGGAAGAACTGACGTTTTCTGAAGGTAAAAACTACATAAAAACCTAGGGATATTTTGCTGTTGGGATTTTCCTATTCATTAATAATATTTAGCATTTAATTTGTTGTGAAAGTTATTTCACTATCTTTTATACATGCAAGGAAATGGCATGTTATGGGGGCCAATCTGTAACCAACTTTCTATTCCATATTACTGTGTTTCCCAACATACTGCGACCGTAATGACCGAATTAAGATAACAAGTCTATACGACGCGAATACTAGCAAAACTTGATTTCTAATTGTATGTGTACGGGGGTTAATTCTTAACTCGCGCCGACGAAGGCGCAAACGATACAATTAAAGAAAAATTCGTGAGTGAGGTATACACAATTGGCGACATATGTTAACGTATACAAATGCGGTTCTCTCCAAACATTTTGGCCGGGTTGAAGTTAGCGCGACCGCCATCTTGCGCATGGTACTGTCAATTTTTAGCAAAAAGTCGAGTAGCCCTGCACCCGCGCACCCTTCTTGTAGCAACTGGTACCTGCTTTTTGCGTTCTGCGCAACTATCTGCGCTAACTTCAGCCCGGCCAAATGGTTTGGAGAGCATTGTATATTATAAAAATGCCCCCAGATTCATAAAGCAATGAATGAAAGTCGAACGAAAACAAATATGACTTTTTCATTCATCTATCAGAATTGCCCCCGAGTTCATAATAGTAAATAACCATCAACGGCAATTGCCAAGCTATTACCGTTTTTCTTTAGTATTTACCAACCTGTTTGAAATGCATGTTTCTGAATAAACATCTGTATGTGTACTTTTTCGATGTTTATGACTTTTAAGGAAAAGTATCGAAAATGAAGATCGCATAAGACATTTTTATCGTCCTTGCATTGTTAAATATATAGATACTTAGCAGAAAGGTAGTAGGGATGCATAATACACGCGTATATGTATTTTGTGTGAAACAAAGTGAAACACCCCAGCCATATAACATCTAAACAAGATGGGCTCTTGACCTATTTTTGCATAGGATATTAGGTTATTGAATGTGCTATGTCTTTGAATAAGTATAGAAAGTGAAAAACGTTTTAATAGATAGGCTTTACTAGGGACGTCAGTCGAAAACAACCACTTAGTACAGCCTTGCACGTGTGTCCCTAGTGAGAATTATAGTAATACATTGGTTTCGGGCTGTATCTAGTTTGTGCTAGGCTTTCAGAAGGTTGGTGAAATTTTTTATAGGCAACTCTAGTAATATTTAAATTGAAACCCTACTTGTACCTATTTACTATGTGCTGTATGTTTTTTATTGAAAATAATAGGATGATATACGAAAGATACAAATGAATTCAAACGGTATAAAACTTGTCTCTTATGCTAAAATATAATATACTCCTGATACATCATTGTTTTCGGGCTGTTTGGCAAGTTATATACTCCCGGTGTTTCTGATATGTTTTGCTGAATAAAAAACGAAGCGTTAAACTTGTAAGTTAATAAATTTTGTAGGTCATGTATTTTGTGTTTAAATCGATAAAACATCTTCATTCATTATTTGTTATATTGTAAGACTTCTAGTATTTTCTAAGAACTTAAATACCAAAAGTATGCCGTAAGTCAAGGTACTATACTTACATGACAAACACCGTATACTTTACGTTCATTACAACTAAACACAGAAGTAAGAAGGTGCTTAGTTTAATGTGACAGTAATTTAGTTTAAACGCAGTTTTCACTTGAAAATTGTTTCAGTAGGTACTTACACTAGTGGGGACTTAAACCTTTTGTACCATAAACAAGAAGAAGAGTTATATTCAACGTAAACGTATGTTTTGTTATGAAATTATTAATACCGTAGTATAAAGCATCTTGATAAATGTAGCGCAGTTTAATCACGAAGTGCATCCGAAAAAAAAATGCTTTATTTGATTAGGGCACAGACTCCGATGTTACTTGTCAATATGAAACAATTGGAAAAACAGACACAATTTTATTGCCCTATGAAGGAGAAGAAAATTTATAGAGGCTTGGGATTTTTAAAAAGTATTATTTTGTATTAACTTACCCCATTGATTCTGATTATAGAAGATACTACAATATTGTTGCAAATCACAAACTGATTGTATGTGGCTACCTGTGTGGATGGACTGAAGGTCGCTAATATAATGGTTAAAAGCTGATGGTCACATAGCACGCTATTCATTTCTGTTGTAAGGGTGACCAAGAATTGGTTTTTCTTGGGGTTTTTAGGTATCGTTACTATTTTGCTCAATTTTAAATATGAAACCAAGTAATAATACTTTTGCACGAAGTGAGTACTTACCCATTATTTTATCACTTAAACAGCAATTTAACTTCTAAATAAAACACTTTAACTCTTTAAAATACGACATTTATTAGTTGAAATTATTTTTAACTTTGGCCTGACGTTTTAGGATGCTTTGCAGCAGCCGTGGTCACGGGGAGATAATCTCGATTTAATTTCAAATTTTGGTGTACAATGAAAACACCTAGTACATGCCTATTTCAATGTATTTGAAAAAATTAATTAAAAAATTTAAAATTATGCACTAAAAAATAAACAAATACCAATCATAAGCTTTTTTTTGCCTTCATAAAAAATATCTAATTGTACCTAAGATTAAACATATATTTAGACCTATACATTATTTTCCTCGAAAAATACTTTTCAAACACGATTAAACATTCATATTAGTTTGCGGTAGAATTAGCTAGCCATTTGATGATATTGAAACAAAGCAAAGTATTCAACAAACACATAACATTCTCTACAAAGCTTAGAATCTTTAATAAATGTTTGTAACTAGGTACAGTATTGCCAAAAACAATAAAGCATACATAATTCTGTCGTTAACCAAAATGTAAAAGGCGGGAAAAACCAGCAGCGAAAGCCGTTTCTTTAGGCGATTTGAACACCGGAATTTCCGTAGTTAACCCGCGATTACTGGCCATTGTACCTGACAATAAAATAAAAGAAATAATAAAAAGCAAACGTCTGCCGCTAACCATAGATAATGCTTGCTCGGAATCATGCTAATTTGATTTCTTTTCGAACGGAATAAAATTTAAATTTGAATTGGCCGCGTGACTACAGTTTGAGGTTATACTTTTTCGCGGTCTTTTCATCTTTTGTGAATGTAAGATGTACGGGAGTATTGTGAGGAAGAATTTATATTCGATTTCGTACAACAATGAATGCAGTTGTTCTGTTTGACAAAGGCGCTTCAAAGGATTTTTTCGTTCAAATGACGCGCTGTTATCTTATTATTTTATTTGCTCTTTCACAAAAGTTGAAACGCAAGGGATATTTATATGAAATTGTTTGTAGAACTCTTGATTATTCGGACTACAAGTCTAATACCTTTTTACTTTGAGAGATGTTACCATGGCATGGTTTCTCATTTTAATATAAGAATAAACATTTTAAATCAAAAATAGATATATTATAAAAAAGATTGTAATTCGGTGTTCAAAAATGTATTATTATAATATTTGAAGTGTTTTCCAGGACATTTCTACGCCCAGATTGAAAAAGTAATTATCCTTTCACCCAAATAACAAGAAAATCGATATAAAACGCACCGCAAGTAGAAGATACGAGTCCATAATCTCATGAAGTGGTGGAACCGCTTCGCCAGCGGAACGGACACAATAAATCTTTGTAGGATAATCCCGAATTGGGCTGACTCGTCTCTTTGTGTGATATGACGTATCTATTGAAAGTTCGTGTTTTGCGCTATATTGGATTCCGTTTGTACATCTTCCTATTTTTATCTATGTTCACCTCGGCAGAAGTTTGTGAGAATAAGTTATTACCTACTATTGATCCAATTTAATAATCTTACTTCAAAATTTAAAAAATAAGATTATATTAACAAAAAGTACCATATTAATTTATTCAATGAAATAACAATTCATATACATGATGTAAGGTATGTATACGGATTACCTATAACGAGTTACTAATTATTTATTATGATTTTGTTTCCTCTTAACACTTATCTGGAAGCTTAATACGTGTTGTTTCAATTGAAATAATTACTAGCCTTCTTATTGGCTTCTCCGTCGTTCTTTTAATATCCTTATATATATATATTAGGCGCTAACAGTGTGGGCAATATTAGAACTAATAAGGCATCTATAACAATTCGTTGGACACGTTGTCATGCATGTCACATTGCGTGTTACATTTCATCGATTAAATGACGTTTGTGTAGAAGCGCGAAGTGTGCGCGGCGCAGTACTGAACGGTATTGTAGCGAGACGCACCCGTGCACGAAACAAACATGGAAAGCCAAATAGAAAGCTCGTGGAGCGAAGAAAATTCACTGCAATTAATAGCAGAGTACAGGGCCCGCGAAATTCTGTGGAACCCGAAAAATGAAAACTTCTATAAAAAACATTTTAAACAGGACGCTTGGAACGAAATCGCGCAGTTGATGTCCATGACGAACGAAAAATGTAACAGCAAAATTGTTAGCCTCCTATCTTCGTATCGCCGCGAAAAACTGCGGGAACGAAAATCAGTAACGCGGGGGAAAGGTAAGGTCTTGCTTTCTAGTAACGGTTAAGTAACATAAAATGATCGTTATCTTGAATAACGATCATTTTAAGGTGGTGGTTTAAGTATTAAAGGTGTCATTTACTATCATTGTAAGCCAACTGACGGAGATATATTACTCATGTTTTTAAAAAATGATGATGTGCTGTTCAACCAGTTAATATCGTAATGTCTCACAGTCCAAGAATCTAAGTGAGTATTAAGAAAAAACACGTAATTGATAGCCAAGGACAGCATTCCCCCTACAACTAATCAATATAAAACTAGTATCATTAAAAAAAGCTAACCATACCTCATATATATTAATAGTTTAATATTTTCCGCCTCATTTACTTAATGTATTGTTCATATTATATTATCAATTTACGTTTCAAATTACACTGTGCGAAAAAATAGAATATATCTTACGTCAGCGAAATGTCATGCGTTTGACAATGCACAAATAACTTATGTCACTGTCAAGTGTCATTAAATAATTAATTATTATCGTTTTTATTTTCGAAGTATGTCCATCTATATGATTTTATTGTGTTAGGTTAATATAAAGTTATTGTTTGTAACTACTAAACAAACTATTCTATAAGCGAGTATTTATAAAAGTAAATTAAAAGTCGCTACTAAAACAACTCAAATCAAAGGTGAAAAAAACATTGCCGACAACAAAAGTATATTTTCCAAAACACTATGGTTTTGGAACGTAAGAAAAATTTTGTGAACAAACAGTGTAAAGAAAATAGGTGCTATATCATTATAGCATAACAATATGTAATATAGAGCATTAGTCTTATATAATAGTTATACAGAGTAGTCATTATTCTTATGAAGAAATTTTTATTTTTTACTGTAAAGAGCTAGTGATATTACCCTATTTGTGTAATAAACTACAAAGGCTTTTTATATAGCTGCATTAAAATCTATTATATTATCTCAGTACCACAGTGTGCTACATTAACACAACAAGTAAATAACATTACCGAGCCAACATTTTGAGCTAAGAAAAATTGTGACTAGGCTAGTGATAAAAAACTATCTCTTAAAGTATTTCAAATGTACCTACACAAAAATCGCATTGTTAACATTATTCAGTATAAATATAATTTGTTTCATCTAAATTAGTGTTGTTTTATTTTATTTGTGGGGTGTGTGTCGGCAGTATTTCTTTAATTTTATTTTTATTTATTTATACACAGGTTTTACATATTTAATACACATCTGTTAAAACTAAAATCTATACAAACTAGTTCTTTAATGCACTTATAATATACATTTAAAAGTTAGACCTAATGGTATATTTATTTTATACTATAGTATCTAAGTAAGAGTCATAGTACAATATGTATTTTGTAAATGTTTTTATTTATATATTTCTTCTCTTCATAAAATAGTACTAGCTTATATATAAACTGATTAAGTTTTATTAAATAACTGAATACAGCACACTAAATTTATCACAGTAATTGTTAAATATTTTGTTGATTTTGTTACTTGATACCTTATTAATAAATAATTTCCAAAAACAAGTTTTTATTTTCTTTTGTTATAAAGTAGGTAAGTAATATTTTTGTGGTATGTAAAAAATAAAATAAAATAAAACTGTAATCCAACAGATCATAATATGTTTTTTTATCTACTTGAAGTTATATCTTTACTAATATATAAAGTTGAAAGGTTTGTTTGTTTGAACGCGCTAATCTCAGGAACTACTGGTTCAAATTGAAAAGTTATTTTTATGTTTGTTAGAGCGTTTATCGAGGAAGGCTATAGCTATAATATCGCTGTGATGTAATAGGAGCGAAGAAACAGCGGGAAATGTGGAAAAAATGGTGAAAATTATTCATCTTCGTGGGTTTCCGATGCGTACCTCGTGGGTAACAGCTTTAATTTATAAAGATGAAGAGGAGGTTTGCAAAAAAAATTTGGATGCCCCAAGTAACTATTCTTCGCGGACGAAGTGGCTAACACAGCTAGTTGTTTTATATTTTCATATTTACTTCAGTAATCGTTACGTTGTTCACAGATCCCGCTGATAGATACAAAAGTCGATGGTTTGCTTACAATGCCTTAAAGTTCTTGGACGACAGGAACAAACCACGAAAAAGAAGAATTATGGTAGGGCTAGGCGTTTGTATACCACAAACGCCCTAGAAAGCTGATTAAATAATGAGAATTATAACACCCACAATTATTTTTTACTTGCAGGAAATACTTCAAAACCCGAGCCCAGAAAAGACCAACAACACAGAACCCTCTGCTATGCAACTAACACCTCAATTACAAACGAGAAGAAATATTACGATTATGTCCACTAACTCAATAGGTACAATACACACGGCAAATAAAACGGGAAATACAGAAAACAGCCAAGCATTAACTAAAAGTTTTTCTACCTTCATCGGAGCCAAAATGAGCACTTATTCCGACCAAACGAGAACATCTGTGGAGCACGCAATTTTCGAAATTCTGATGAAGGCTGACCGGGGCTATTTTGAGTTACCATGGCGACAGCGTTGTGACCAACAGGAAGACATTTAACTGTTTTCGTTAATCCTTCAGGGAGCGTAGCTAATTCTTCCGCAGACAATACAGCAGACGTAGTTAAGATTCCAGATAATGTAAACAGTAATGCGTCATCGTTAGAGTCGAGGTAACGAAGATCAACATGCCCATGAATTAAATGACGAATCCTCTTCAGATAATAAAAATGATTAGGACAATTTATAATTTAAAAGATCCGGTAGAACAGCGTTTTGACCTAAAAAACTTAGGGATGTAAAATATCTATACTAATATATAAAGCTGAAGAGTTTGTTTGTTTTAATGCGCTACTCTCAGAAACTACTGGTTCGAAATCAATCAATCTTTTTGCGTTGGTTAGAACATTTATCTAAAAACTATTAAGCAGCAATTTAGTAACTGCGGTAGAGGAGTTACCTTCGTTAAACTTGTTTGAAGGCAAGTTCATCGCTCTTTTGATTGAACCTACTAAGGTATTGTAATATCTTATCGAATCATATCGCACCCTACATGAACCTTCATTACAAGGGTAAGCAAATATTTGTCACACTTCTAGTATTGATCGCAACGTACCGAAACGTTTCTAGAAAAAATCGTAAGCTTAGTTGTGAGGAGACAAGCGATTAAGAACACTAAACGACCGCACTTAATAAGTAAACAACAGCGCATTTTGTTTAGATGTTACATGTCTGAGGCATTTAAACTACCATCAAGTGACCCTCGTGCTCGTCTGCCCTTTTTCTATCATAAAAAAAATATCGACATATAATTTTTTATTGAAGAGGGTAATTTTAGAATGTCCGATAATGATAAAGCTTTGATGAAAAAACGCTACTATTATGGATATTACCTTCACTTGATTTCTTTTGATTAGTAATAATTTTATAGTTTTTTACAAGGTTAATTAGCATGATGTGCTCGCTCTTCCTACTTTAGTCACATACCGACTGAAGACCTGTCTCTTATGACTTGCGCCACACTCACACACAGCCAGTAACACGCAGTTTATTCACAAGTTCGTACATTCTCACAACATGTCGCCCGCTCCCGGATAACAACCGATTTTATTGCAAGACTTTTCAATAATTTATATCATAACACATGCGGACTCAGACCCGTAATAAAGTGCCCCTGAACGCTATAAATTCTACTCTCCCCGAATAAGATACTTTATGTAATATATTATTCGGAATGTTAATATTTTTGTTATGTCATATATTTTACTGTCGTTGGACTCCTCAAGGATTTTTTGTTACGCGAATTATCTGTATAGACTAAGATTTGGTTCCGAGTTCCGACACGTTAAAAGTTTTGTTTAGTCTAACATGATGTTTTATATGCTTAAGCTCCTTAATACCGCAAAATACAAAAGAAATATATGCATAGATATGTATAGGTAGTTATAATCATAGATAATTCTAAATTTATGAAAACTTGTGAATATCTTTAAGCTTTCAGTTTACTATGGGTATCTTTAAGTATCTTCTCTATAGTTTCAAAGAATTTAAAGAGTTAAATACTTAAATAAAACACTTTAACGGTTTAAAACGCGATATATTAGTTAAATTGATTAATTGTCTCCCCGTGACCACGGCTACTGCAAAGCATCCGAAACGTCAGGCCGAAGTTAAAAATTATCTTCAAATAAGTTTAACTAATATATCGCGTTTTAAACCGTTAAAGTGTTTTATTTAAATTTAAAGAGTTGTTTTATGTAGAGTGAAAGAATTATTTGGTACCACTCTCACTCACTGGTGTAAGCCACGATATCACTACTGATAATACAAGAGTGGTTGTGTTTCTTTTCGCATTTTTAACAAAAAAAACCGTTTAACTACAGTAACGAAGCGGTAATTAATAAGAGCTTAAAAGTGCACCCTATTAAATAGTTCCAGCTTGTACCTAAACTCCGTGTAATAGCGTAGCGGAAATACGTAAGTAGCACTAATACTTCTGTTCGTATTCTATTCATTATAAGTTTTAAGTTCAATTCGGCTTTTACAAGGTTTTAGCAGAGTTGTGGCTTAAGCGCTTGTGAAACCCGTAAAATGACGGAAGGGGGATATTTTAGCGGGAAAATTCAACCGGGTTTGCCACTCAGACAGCATAAATCCACTTAGCGTATCGTTTTGTTGAAGCGTAACGTACACTTTCGTGCTAATTTTGGATGGATGGTCTCTTATCGGTACATAAGCGTTATCGCATTTACTACTTTCACTACTTTTCTTCCTGCAGATATCTTAAAAAGAAATAACGTAAAAATACTGTACCTATTTTATGTGTTTAATTTTATAACATTATCCAAACAATTTTATACTTACCTTTAGACATAGTCGGGAGAACAATTCTAATAATGTAAAACAAATTATTTAACATGGGTCACGCAAGGCAGACACCAGCACGGACTGTAGTAGAAGTAGGAGTATTCTACTCACCCTTAAATAAAACCGCTCCATGAACAGCTATGTCGCCTACCCATGTCCAAAATTTCTTGGGATTTTGATTACCAATATTGCATAATATGATTTTGTACGAATAAATAATTTATTATCATCAGCTTCTTCGAAAATTCAAGGGCCATCCCGAGAAGATGTTAAAGTAATTGCAAGTTTATCTCGTGTGTAGATGTAATGTGGCGTGGAATAAGTGTGTTCCCGATTCAGGTGAATAATACACAACCGCAGAATAACACCGAGCTATGTGCATGTTCATCAGCAGAGCGAGATATGAAAACGATTTATGGTACTCCTATTTTTAAAGCGACTTGAAAGGTCCTCTGCAATACGAATCGTAAAATATGATTTTCGTGTTGGATTGTACATAACTTCATCATTTATATGCCGATTTTGATGTTTTGTTTTTTTTGACGTACGATGTCGTGTTCAGGAACATATTATTTCGATAGTTTAGAAGATAAACTTCGATTAAAATGACTTCAGATACCTACTGGGCATTAGACATGTATTAATACATTTTAGTTTACCTTTGTATACAGTGTTGTATTGTGATAATCTGACCCCATTTAGCACCCGCTATCGCTCCGCTTATACGCGTGAATGATCGGTGAATTCAATCAGATTCAGTGCGCAGTGATCTCGTAAGGGCGCGTGCATAAATAACGCGAGTCCGCTCCCATCCGCCCGATGGATCCTACAGGAGTTATTACCCGACATCACGATTGATGTGCCTGTAAGATAGTGCGTTCAACTTACATAAAACTTCTCACATTTTACGAAAATCTTACTTTTATATGCTACATATAATAATGCTTGATAATAATGTTTTTAAATTTTGATGTGTACACGATTATTTAAAAAAATATTGCGTCATTATCGGTTTTGCATATTACTTATTCTTGGAATTTTAAAGATCTCGTTCTTGTCAATAATGCACAATAAGAAAAAATATTTATTTATCTGACCAATATATATTTTTTCTAAACACTGTTGTTGGCTCAAGGGCTTTGTAGCCAAACCATTAAATACTGTTATTATAATGTTAAAATAAATGCAGCTAATTTCTCTATGCGCCTAGCAAAAAGCTTTTAGCAATGAGCAAAGTTTTAAATAATCAGCCATTATTTTTATTGCTGCAAATGGCCATGCTACCATTTTACTCGATTCTTTACCTCGACTCGTGCGATCATCGATCATAGATTAACATCTCCGTCGTCGATGTATGCATTTTTTTTCTTCTTATAATATTATAGTTGATTTTATTACTGCATTATAACTGTAACTTTCCCCGTGTCGGTGGTGGTGTAGCAATATATCTTCGATTTCACTAACCTTTCTCAATCCTCAGGAGTACCTCTGTTACTGGACCTCGCAGTGAGAAAGAGTACCTCATTGTTGAGAATGAATACCCTTCACCAAAATTTTACTTGCTGTTTTCTATAGCCTCTCTCTTACAGTTAATTATTTCCCTTCGCTTGATTCCCTTCTTGAAAAATTTGTTCCCGCATACGATATTCTCATTTTGATGGGCGATTTTAACACTTGTGTTCTTAAAAATGATTATCGAGCTAAAAGGCTCATTTCTCTTACTGATTTTTATAATATTTACACATTCTACCGCTTACTGCTACACACCACTATTCCTATTGTACTCCCTCTCTTATTGAGTTTATGATAGTTTCCAAACCTGGATTTGTGTAGTCACACGGTCAGTGTTAAACATATGCCTTCTCTTTTCATGATTTTGTATTTCTCTCTTATAAACTGCGACATGAAAAAAACCAAGGCTACATTGTCTTTAATTTTAACGCAATAGACAGAGTTTCTAAAAATGCTCGAAATATTGATTAGAATGTAATTAATTAATTTATTTAATAAGGCTAACTACCTACGTACACAAACATGTTTTAAACTACTTATGCTAATTATAGTAGGCATAATTCTTATGTACCTACCTTATAAGTACGCACAGCGTTGGCTATAGATATGTATTTCAGGTTGCCTGGAAGAGATCGCAGCTTAGCGATAAGGCCGCCTTTTATTTATATGTTAGTACGTAAGATTTTTCCTCATTAATATCTATTTTCTGTGGTGTGTTTTATAAAAAACAATGTTATAATAATAAATACTACACTAATGACTTATATTACCTTGAATATAATTAGTAACTATACACATCATATTTTAATTTCCGTATTAAGCATATTATAATTAAGTTCCATTAATATGCTCTAAAGCAATTATAACCATGGTTCGAAAGCCTCTAAAGAAATCGTTTAGTACAACGGACTTAAATGTGTCTAAATAAATAAATTTATATAATTTGAACACTTTCAACAGAGTTTAAAAGAAAAGAGTAAGGTAATAAATCGACTGAAAGCAGGTGAGTCGATGTGAGTCCCCTAAATCTAAGCAAGGCTAGACAAATGATCGCACCAAACAATACACTTAGCGTCGATTGATTGAAGGATATCGGCGTTTTCTTCTAAACTGTACTGTGTGTAAAAATAGTATTCTAAGTTTGCTTGGGTATATTTGTATTATATTACCTGTGTTTTCATAATTTTATACCATTATACTTACATTGGAATTAGAAGAAGTTATACGTAAATTTCTTTCGTGGCGTGTAGGTAATAACTTTTTTGTTGGTAATATCACGTAGAAACTAATTATTATTTATACAGAATATTGTATAGATTCATTGACATCAGTCGAGACGTTAAACATATATTAGAACAAACAGATAGACAATACTTTTACCCACACATTAATCAGTACATAAAAATAGCATATATAAAAAATAAAAAGCTGCCATTTTAAAGTCGGGGACAAACCTTTGCATAGAAGAATTTGAAAACCTGCTAAGTTTGCTCCGATGTTTGAAATTTTGGAGCAAGGTTTGAGTTAATGCAGTAAACCTTGATAGGCATCATTTTGCACTCGTGCATTAGTAATTAGTAATTACAACAATGCTCTGAACTCAATTGTTATTTCGATACATTATCGTGAACATGTGAACCAATAAAAAATAATCTATAAAGCCAAGAAAATGTCATATAATTTACTCTCAACTAAGTTACTAACAGGTGTTACATGGCAATCGCTGTTGAAATTGATTTTGCGTGTATTAGCTGTATCGCAGATTATCACACCAGCAGGATGGCCGCCATCGTACCATCTGAAAGGTATTTCATCTACCATTGATGGTTCTTGTCGCTGGTTTTAGCCTTTTACGGGGGGCATAAGCGCTTACGCTTTTTTGTAATTTTGGCCGTTTTCTTACTTTAGTACCTATTCAGCTCGTGAAAATACATGTCTTATGTACTTACACTAAATGTGCACTACCGGAATTGATCCTACAATTAGAAGTACCTTTTTATTATTTAAAATAAAAAAGTAATAGTGGTAAAAATATAAACAGCTAGCTAGCTTGTACGTGACTCTCTTGAGTGTAAACTTCTTTCAATCTTGTTTGTCGTACCGCCTACATTATAATGTTTAGCCCATCCCACGAAATCATTTATTTGTCGAGTTCAAATCAAATCAAAACCAGAATTCTGAAGAAATAATACGTTTACACTAAGTTTTATCACACTCAGTTAGGCTGTTCCGTAGACATGTATCAACTGATATAAAGATTTATTATCTCACTTTAGATGGTGCCGTCTTCGACTTTATAGTAGTAGGGGCTGGTTCGGGTGGTGCTGTGGTTGCAGCTAGGCTTAGCGAGATATATCACTGGAAGGTGTTGCTGATAGAAGCGGGGGGAGACCCCCCATTTGGAAGTGTAGTAAGTATCGAAAGTTTATGAGAAACAATTCAACTTTACTTACATCTTAAATTTTATAGTGTATTTCAAATGTTGAGCGCGTTTTAGAATTAAACTCAATTCAGTTTAATTAGTGTATTTTTAGTCTGTAGGAGGAATGGAACAGATCTTCTGCTCTACCTATTTTTCAATTACAAGTACAATAGTTGATCAGATTTAATGCTTTAACTTTTTATTGTCTTTTTCAGGCACCAGGGCTTTTTCAACTGCTGCCAGGGACAGAATATGATTGGAATTATAAAGGTCATCTTGATCCAGGAATAGGCTTATCACATCCTGGCGGTTTTCTACGAATCGTGCGTGGAAAGATGTTAGGGGGAACCTCTTCTATTAACTATGAAATTTATTCGAGAGGAGTTCCAGAAGATTACGATAGATGGAATGTAGTTGCGCCCGGGTGGAGCTGGAAATCGGTCCTGCCCTATTTCAAAAAACTCGAAGGAATGAGAGATAGTTCTGTATTTAAAGATTCCAAGAACGCAGAGCTGCATTCGTCACGCGGCCCAGTTGCGGTATCTCGATCACTTCATAAGGAATTCGAGAAAACAGACAATATAATGCTAAAGTCTTTCCAAGAAATCGGCGTTAAAACAGTTCTCGAAAACAACGGTCCTGAAAATTATGGAATTTCTCGACCACATTTCACTTTCTATAATGGCAGGCGATCGAGTACAGCGGAAGCTTATTTAAAACCAGCACAATATAGAGAGAATTTTTATCTAACAAAGTACGCCAGAGCTATCAAAGTTCATATAGACCCTCATACATTACGAGCGTATGGTGTTCGTGTTATGCTAGGGAAGAAAATGATTATCAATGTGTATGCTAAGAACGAAATCATTCTGGCAGCAGGGTCTATCGACACACCCAAGTTGTTGCTGCTTTCTGGAGTAGGACCCAAGGAAACATTAAAAAAGTTTAATATCACGATTGAAGCAGACCTTCCAGTTGGTAAAAATTTACAAGACCATGCAGGTTTTCCTATTACTTTTGCTGGCCAAACTAATTATGATATTAGTAATTCTTTTTCCTTACCACCAATAGAAACATATCCTACGCCTCTTCAAAATGGCTTTATAACTGTGGATTCAGCTGTTTTTCATGAATTTCGGAAATATGGTGATTCAAGACCGCAACTCCAAGTTGTCAACAGCCATAAAGGAGCCGTCGCTTCTATTGACACTGGTTTAGGTAGTTGCAATATAATTGAAAATTATGATGATGAGTATTGCTTATCGTTGTCAAAATCGAATTTATTTAGAGAAATATATTCTATTTCAATGCTTCTATTACATCCCCTTTCGAAAGGAGAAGTGACTATTAGAAGTACTAACCCAATCGACAAGCCATTAATTAAAATGGGTTATTTAAGACATCCCTATGATATTTTAGTTGCTAAAGAGGGTATCAAGTTCTTGACGAACTTGGTTAATACAACATATTATAGACAAGTCGGTGGTGAAATCGTGAAAGTAAAGGTAAAAGGTTGTGAAAACCTTACATGGGGTAGTGATGCATATTGGGAGTGCTATGTTGTTAATATTATCGGCACTTTTATGCATCCCGTGGGTACATGTCGTATGGGACAAGAAGGTGTAGTCGACGAAAGACTAAGGGTCCATGGTATCTACGGACTAAGAATTGTTGACGCATCTATAATGCCCGAAATAATCAGTGGCAACCCTAATATACCAGTTATGATGATCGGTGAAAAAGCAGCCGATATTATTAAAGAAGATTATGGTGAATTCACCATCACCTATCTTGATGATTGATTTGCAACAAGAGATGTCAGGCTTCCTTAATAATTAAAATAAATGTATGTAAAAAGTGATATTTATTATTTAAAACTGGTTTTAGAATATATTTAATTGAGTGTATATCTCAGAGGTATTTTTAAATAATTACGACTCTGAAAGGGCTCGTGGGTCTTATGGAAGCAATGTATGGCTAATAATAATCGATGGGTTGTAGGTTGGATCCCTACCGCCTTCAACATGTTTCTAATCAATATACATCTTTTCTATAATATGTTGGATTCGTTTGGAAATGTGTATCTATACTATATAACGCGCTTATCTCTGGATTCTGGAACTACTGGTTCGAATTAAAAAAATCATGTGTTTGTTAGAACATTTATCGAGGAAGGATATAGGCTGTAAAACATCGCCCTGTGACTAATACAAGCGAAGATACATCAGGAAACCTGAAAAAAAATGGCAAAATTATTCATCATTATGGGTTTCCGAGGCGTACGCTGTAAAAACGGTTCAAGATACCCAAAAGATATGTATGAGAGGATGATTTCGCTTTAAATGATCTAAAAAAAAGTCCGTGATGGCATATGTCTATATTTTAAGATTAGCTCGCAAGAACGACGGAAAGGGACGCGACCGACGTCGGGGTAACAGCTAAGTTTATAAAGATAGAGATTTGCAATAACGATTTATTACATTACAAAATTTAGATGCCTTATATATATGATTGAGTATTTTACTTACCATTAAGTGAACCCCGTGCTTGACTATCCTCCTCTATAATTAAAAAAATAATAACTATGATAGATTTAAATAAAACACTTTAACGGTTTAAAACGCGATATATTAGTTAAACTTATTTGAAAATGATTTCTAACTTCGGCCCCACGTTTCGGATGCTTTGCAGCAGCCGTGGTCACAGTCTCCTCGTAGCCAAGGCGAGAATCATTTTGAAATAAGTTTAACTAATATATCGTTTTAAACCCTTAAGGTGTTTTATTTAAATGTGTACTACTCCCTATAGACAGTATTTAATTATGATAGATTTTCAAAATTTTAGCTTTAGCTGAATAAAATAGAATGTCATATGTAAAATTTGTGCAAAAAAAACGTTTATGAGTAATAACGATAGTTAGCATTACAATAAGAACGCCGTAATGAATTAATATAATTGTTCCACCAGTGCCATTACAAGGTTATCACGTGTAACCCCAAAATTTTTCAAATAAATTGTCTTGAAAAATGCGCACACGTGTATAACACTCGCCATGCTCACAGTGTAAGGATAGGAGTAGTAGATATGCTTCCAAAAATTTCAATACCTTGCCAATCGTGGCAATCGCTCCTAAAATTGGTGCTGCAAATGTTAGCTTTGTCCCAGACCATAACCCCGGCAGGGTGGCCACCCTCCTACCGCCTGAAAGGTTAGTAGTGCCAGAAAAATAACGTATTCTAATGACTGCAGTTCACGAAACTGTATGTCGTATTTTTTTTTGCCATATGTAGTATTTTGACTAAATTTGATTACCATTAAAATCGATAGACATATACTGTCCACTGTACAATTTTTTAGATATGTAAGTATGAATCTTCATTTTCATAGGTACATATTTTTGGGTGTCTTGAAACATTTTCGCAGTGCACGGAACTTTTTTTGCAAATTTCCTTCTTTTTCTTCGCTCCTATTGGTCATAACCTAATGTTTTATAACCTAAAGCCTTCCTTGATGAAGTAAAAATAATTTTTCAATTTCTACATTCCGTAGAGTAGTTCCTAAAATTAGCGCATTCAAAAAAAAACAAACTCTACAACTTTCTTATATTAGTGTAGATGTTAAATTTTTTAATTTGATATGTAAAACCTAAATATGGATAGGTTTGTCGTACAACAGTATAATACTCATAAATATAAAATAGTCAAAGATAATTCTTACTTACAGATAGCGAAACCTTTGACTTCGTGGTAGTGGGCGCTGGTTCCGGTGGTGCCTTGGTTGCAGCGAGGCTTAGTGAGATAGCTAAATGGAAAGTCTTGCTCATAGAGGCAGGAGGGGATCCACCGTTTGGAAGTGTGGTAATAAAACTAGTCCAAGTGTTAATTTATTCATTAGGTCGTCATTTTATCAAACACTAGCTGTGTCAGCGACTTCGTCCGCGTAGAATAGTTATTTTGGACAAAAAAACAATTTTCTCATCCCGCGCGTCCTATCGTTCTTGCAAGTTAAGATTAAAAGGTAGAAATATAACGTCACGGACTGTTTTTAAATCATTAAAAGAGGAATCATTCTTTCATACATAGTTTTTGGTTCCCTTGAACCGTTTTTGCAGCGTACGCCTTGGGTACCCATAATGATAACTAATTTTCCCATTTTTTCACATTTCTCGCTTCGTGAATCTTCGCTTGTATTATATAGCCTTCCTCGATAAATGCCGTAACCAACACAAAACATATTTTTCATTTCGAACCCGTAGTTCTTAATATTAGCGCGTTCAAACAAACAAACTCTTCAGCTTTATATACTGCTATAGATATGTCTAGCATTAAAGATGTAAAAGACTACCAAATTCGTACTTTAATTTGCTTTATACTGAAACAACGACAATAACTGTCATATAGACATTGATCGGAATTACATAATTCGAGGGGTTTATTTCGAGGGATTATTTTATATATATATACGTAATCTTATTTAAAACCGTTCAAAATGGTTTAATTAAGTGTAATAATTATTTCAGGCTCCTGGTTTATTTCCGCTCCTACCGCACACGGAGTATGACTGGGATTATAAACACTATCTTGATCCTGGTATAGGTCAAACTCATCCTGGGGGATTCTTACCTTTAGTACGCGGTAAAATGTTGGGTGGCACGTCATCTATTAATTATGAAATGTACGTAAGAGGAGCACCGGAAGATTACGACAGATGGAATGAAAGCGCACCAGGCTGGAGCTGGGAATCCGTCCTACCATACTTTAAAAAAAGCGAAGGAATGACAGACAATTCCGTATTTACAAATCCCAGGAATGCTGAACTTCATTCAACACGTGGACCAGTAGCAATATCACGACCACATAATGAGGAATTTGACAAAATAAACAATATAGTGCTAAATTCTTTTGAAGAAATCGGTGTTAAGAGAGTTCTAGAAAATAATGGTCTTGAAAATTATGGAATGTCTCTCCCTCATTTTACGTTTGCTAATGGCAGGCGTTATAGTACAGCGGAAGCGTTTTTGAAACCCGCAAAAGATAGAGAAAATTTATATGTAACAAAGCATGCAAGAGTCACTCATGTACACATTGACGATACATTACGAGCTCACGGAGTTCGAATTACTTTAGATACAGGGGAAAACATATCTGTGTATGCTACGAAGGAAGTCATTCTTGCTGCCGGTGCTGTCGATACACCAAAGTTATTATTACTTTCCGGTGTTGGCCCTCAAGAAACGTTAGATAAATTTAACATTACAGTGAAAGCTGATCTTCCAGTGGGCAAAAACTTACAAGACCATGCCGGTTTTACCATTGCGTTCACTGGTCAGAACAAATACGATATAGGTAATTCGTACGACCTGTCACGTATAGAATCCTTTCCTGTACCATTGACAAATGGCTTTATAAGTGTTAATTCTTCTTTGTCTGACGGGTTCCAAGATTTTTATAACATGAGACCGCAGCTTCAAATCTTAAACACATACAAGGAAGCGATTTCTTCTATTGATATAAATAATAGTGACTGTAAAACTCTTGAAAATTATGATGATGATTATTGTTTGTCATTGGCCGAAGCTAATTTGTTTAGGGAGGTAAATTCTGTTTTTATGCTTCTATTACATCCTTTATCAACAGGAGAAGTTAGTATACGAAGTACGGACCCAATGGTAAAACCGTTTATTAATATGGGTTATTTACGACATCCACATGATATTCAAGTTGCTAAGGAGGGATTAAAGTTTCTGACAAATATAGTAAATACTTCATATTATAAAGAGGCTGGTGGTGAAATCGTAAGGGCTAAGGTTAAAGGCTGCGAGAATCTGACGTGGGGCAGCGATGCGTACTGGGAGTGTTATGTCATTAACACTGTAGGCACGTTAATGCATCCAGTAGGAACATGCCGCATGGGGCCTGGAGGCGTAGTGGACGAAAGGTTGCGAGTATTCGGCATCACTGGTTTAAGGATTGTTGATGCCTCTATAATGCCCGAAATCATAGGAGGCAATCCTAATGCACCGACCATGATGATTGGTGAGAAGGCAGGGGATATGATAAAAGAAGATTATGGTGAATTAAACATATCCTGTGAAAATGAATAATATAATTTTCATTAACCTCTGTGACTTTTGAAGAATATCAAAGTAGACAATATTTGTTTCGTTTGATATAACTTTTATATTACAGTTGGCACAGTTGATTAAATAAACAAGACAAATACTTCGGCGGTTTAATTTTTTGCATAATACAATATTGTTCGATAAGTAGTCATACATTTACAGATTTTAAAATAATAACTTGACTAACTTATACAGTATGTAAATTGTCTTTTCATATTTCACTGCACAATAAGGATCAACTTTTGAGATAGACATTTTATAATGAGACATTAAATAGTCATTACCTTGGGGTGGCTATCAATTTCCATCACAAAGGTTTTGAGAATCGGGTCCATGTTTAAATGATTCTTGATATCGGAGTATGACGATTCATAAATAAATATTCCTTTGTTGTTTGACTTTATAACAGAAAGAGAATAGTTTATTGTCGGTATACATGGTCGTCTTTCATTTACATAGATTGCAGTTTACCTGATAAGTTTACATTGATATTAATGAAGACATCCAAGTAATAATAAATATGATACAAAATGATGTTTGTAAAAAATTTTTGAGCAGCTTTCAAATAATACTACAATTGTCTTTCATATTATAAAAAATGTTAAACGATAAAAAATAAATTTTAAAATCAAATCATTCAACCGTCGAACCGCTGAGGAGATCAAATCCTGCCGAGTCGCAAATAAAATTCATTTTAATTATATAGTGCCTTCATGTGCAAAAACATGTAAAAAATAATAAAGTTTTCAAATAAATAAATATATAAAAATGGATATGTGAAAAACGGGGAAAATTATTTTTCCTTGTGGGTTTTTGGGAGTGTGGGAGGAGGTTTACAAAAAGAAATTTGGATGCCCAAAATAACTGTTCTACGCAAACGCTGACACTGCTAGTCTGTAATAGTGGATTTTTTTTAATAACCTAACGAATAACAAAATAACATCTGAGTTATTGATAACTGTTAGCTGTTTGGAGATATATTTTTCAAATATAAGAATTTTCATACAGTTTTATCTTAATTTATGCATTTTGGGATATTAATCTATAACAGAAACAATCAGGCTCTACGACTTTATATTTCGCCTCATGAACTATTGGATTCCATTATAAAACTCTTCAAGCAATGACGGCGGATGTAAACTTTGCTTTAAGTTTTTTTTATCGTGTGCGTTTTACTGACCGAGCTGTGATAAATTTAATATTAAAACGCACTTGTTCCCTTGCATTCTGTGCACGAGAGAACCTGGGTTCGAATTTTAGGGTAACAATATTTTGTTTCAGACGAGCGGGGTACAGAAGTCTATATTTGCCTGAACATAAAATCTATTAGACGATCAAATACATAAATGTATACGCTTCTTGCCTCACATGACGAAATTTCTAAAATAAAGCTAAGAAAATTTTCAAAATTATGTTTTTTTATATAATGGTGAATTGTTAGTAGCGTATCGCGTTATGGTGCCAGTCAAAACATGTATGATCTGTGATAATTTAACTTTATTGGTAAAGGTTATCACGACACCCAGACGAACTAGACGCACCCGACCTTCTCTTCGTCTCTTAAAACTCTCTTCTCTTAAATTTCTATCTACTTTACTAATCGGTTTTTCTTCATCTGACATCTCTGCTATACGACTCGGATAGATAGCATCTTGAGGATTATATCCTCCTTCTTTAAAATAAATATTTTTGCCTTTGAGATACATTAGAGCATTTAAACGTCGACGCAATGGTTAAAACTTAGAGAATATAAGAATAGACTGTTATTTCCAAATTACCAGATAAGTTCCCCCTTACAATCAGCGAAATGTTAATAGACTTCTTAATTATTAAAACAATCAGCTCCAAGCTTGACCCTTAAAATTGAGTGCGACAATACTTAGGCAGGCTCGTAAACTGCCTCGTTTACATGACAAAGTCTCGTTGGGGACCTTTAGAACATCATTATTCTGGATTGGGCTCTACTACGCTCACGCCGAAGTTTTAACGACATTTACATTTAGTTCAACTTTAATATTGTAACTATTAGGTTATTACACGATTCCTTTATTAAATACTTACAGAAGAATTAATTGTTTCTTCTTGAATACTGTCTGTAGTTTACGAGTGTCGAGTAGCACACATTTAAATAAAACACTAATAGTTTAAAACGCAATATATATTCAATGATATTCAAATAAGTTTAAACATCGCGACTCAAACCGTTAAAGTTTTATATTAATTTTTTTTTGGTTGCGCAAAACTGACAACTATGGGGCACTTAAAGTGAAGTACTTCAGCCATATAACATAACGTTTTCGTATAATGTTAGCTTATAATATTTTTGAATGCTAGAGGAGGACAGATAAGCAGGAGGCGTTCATTTGATGGAAGGTGAAGTACCCCAGTCATATAACATTTAACATGATGTGTTGTAGACCTATTTCCGAAACGTAATTAAACCTCACGGCTTCATCATCTGTGGACGGTTGTTCGTGACCTCTATATTCACGCATTTAATATCCAGTTCATCCACCCGTTTAATTGTCTTATTATTATAACTATCCGAGCACGCTCCGTCAAGCGAGAAGTCGTAGAGATCAGGCATCTTGAGATTTATAAGACTACTTTGATAAATGAAATTGGTTCTTCCGATAAGTGTGGGTATAGTATGTCAAATCCTAAGTTAGCCCTCATGTATAAAATGATTCTGGTTAAATATTTACTTATTTTCTGTCTCGAGGTTATTTAAGATAGTGTATATTTCTTTAGTAGTTTGTTCATAGTAGACGAAGCAAATGTTAGTTATGTTACAAAATATTTATTATTCGATTACGTCTAAGTAATAAAATATTATACAAAACGCAGGCAATCTCGACATTAAGCAATTTTTGCGTCCGTTAAGTATTTAGAAATTTCATTTTCAAAATCCAATTGCACGCAAACAAAGCCGCAGAGCATTATTTATTTGGCGTCATAATTATCGCAATTAATTTAGCGTAACGATTTTAATTCAGGGAAATTGATTACGGGAACAAATCACATATGAACTATTCTATTTTAAAATAACTATTTGGGAACAGTTTACAGGGCATTTAATAACTAATATCGATGACTAAGCTGAAGATTTAGAAATGGGTCGTTATATAATATAACTATAATGTTATGACTACTCGACTAAGGAAATTATTTTGATGGTAGGAATATAGACATTCCGTCCGGATCATGAACCACCGCCCACACATTAAAAAGCCGTGAAGCGTAATCATTCAAAGCCGAAATAGGTCGACACCATACCATCAAGTTCACTGTCTATCATCCTCTATCAAGAAAAAAATATGTATATCTTAGTAACATTACTTACTTTTCTCTTGCTTACTTACTTACTTACTCTGCTCTTATTTGAGTCAATATTAAATTAAGTAAAACCTAATTTTGCTTTCTTGGATAAGGTACCTACAACTTTAAATTTGCTCAAAAGCTTATAATAACAATAATATAAATATAACAATTAGATTAATTAATTATTATACTACGACGACTAGACGGCTACTGTTGCTTCCACCGCCAGCGTTCCAACTGCAAATAACTTCGTCTACAAGAAAAATACGAATTAAAATAAATGCCTTATTATTTCACCTCAATAGCAATTTAGACGTTACGCAGGAAATGAGATTCAATAATAAATTATTCGGGATTAAGCCGAAGTGGGCGATAATGGGCGAAAAATTGCCGAGTGTGCATCAAATTGAATAATTTAAGCGTAAAACCTGAGTCGGCTGACGCAAATTAGAATCAGGATAAGCTTCATTTCATTAAAAAAATATCGAGGATTACATTATCGTTATGCTGGATCGTAATTATTTATTAATTGCAACGGCAGACAGCTTCGGACTTAAATAAAATTGGTGGTACGGATTCATCTTTGTTAATACACTCCATTGAATCAACAAATATGGTCAAACACAACGGTTATTTTGACGGCCGTACATACTTAGTATAGTATAGCATAGTAGAGCCGTCCCCCTTGATCCTCATTAAATCTTATTTGTGGTATAATATAAAAATCTTTCAAATATTTAAACTTTAATTATCATTTTAATGAATTGTCTTAATTCTGGTAATCACAATTCAGTAATCTCAAGAAGTTACTGAAGTTAATTGCTTAATTATCCCCCGTGAACACGCCTGCTGTAAAGCATTCCAAACGTCGGGTCGTTGTGAAACTAAATCAAAAGTAAGTAAACTAATAAATTTCACATTTTAAACTGTTAAAATCGTGTGACAGATTATTATTTTATACTCCGTGTTTGTTTTTTTGTGATACTCTGCGTTTACATTTGTTATTGGTTTTCATAGATCAGGTATAATCGATTGACAGACAATGCATGTTAGTAATTGTAAGCTAATCCGCCGGAGCGTCGTGCAGTTAAGCCGATATTAAGACAGCAGTCAAGATCGTGAGATTGTCGCGAGGCGCGGGATTACATCTTCTATCAGTGTAATCCTAGTACATACATTACATGTGTACGCTGTCCTATATAACTACGAAAACCATGCTAAAATAAATCTAATTAAATTTCTCATAAATAGAATAAATTTTCTTGGGAAGCTAAATCGGATATTCTTGTATGTATATCACTTCGAAATATACGGGACCCAATAACATGCCCTTTAGATTTATGATAAGAAATATAACTTCTCCGAGTGGTACACGAAAAATAAATAAACAAAAATCGCATTACCACTAAATATATCTTTAAACACAAACTCACATAATCAAATAGAAACAATAAATTTGGATACACCCTTAAATTAATTTTTCATTTGATCTAAAAATAGTATCCAAAAGTGTCTTAGCGATTTCAGTAATTCTATCGTATAGGTTTTTAATTTAAGCCCTGGTAATACGCTTTTTTTTCTGTTTAAATAAAAAAGAATAAAGTAGAGTACACTAATATGTATTCGTTAAGTTTTCTCGTCATCAGCAGAGGTGGGAACTCGATAACTCTGGGGGACATACCTAGTGTATCTTTGTAAGTATAGCAAATTGTATTATGTAAAAAGATGCGGAAGTAACTTTATTCACACTTTATACAGAAAAAGTGACTCGTTATGGTCGTTATTAAAAACCAAACCGATATGCAAATACCTGAATAGTAGAAATTATTAATTTACATATTCTTTCAATTAGCCTTTTTGTTTGCATAGCACAGATACATACAAGTAAAAACAAGACTTATTATTGCACATGAAGGCACTATATGTCAGTAAGAAAAAATTATAATTTAAACATCGTAAATAAACTGAAAAAATTTTTCGACTCGGGCTGGACTTGAACCGGCATCGTCAGCGTTCCGCGCCGTTGCTCTACCAATTGAGCTACCGAGTCGCTAGAGTTTTTTCTTACTGATGAAATCAAGGCTTCTTTTATTTTAATTATAACATATATGTTGTTATCATATTTCACGGTAGCAGTAAATTACATGTTCAATTAATGCCAAAGCTATCAATCGTTGTGTCAAGGTTTTTCGATAGCCGTGAAATAAATACAAGGATCAAATGACTATTAGCATCTACTATTAGTAAGATATTTTGCAGAAATCACCCAATTTACATGATGCTTGAAAGTTTTTCAATATTTTTTTATTTTGATGATACGGCGTTCGAACCAACAACAACAACGTTCTGTGTATTTGTATTTATACGAACATTCGAGTGAAAATTTGAAAAAATAATTTGCAAATATGTAACAGTAATAATGTGGTAATGGTGTGGTAGTGGGTAACTCAGCACATCTTCGTTTAACAAAGTTATATGCAATTGTATACAAGATAAAACGACGAATTCTAACTTCAGCATTTATTTTTACACAGCCTTATGTTATAAATGGCAACGTCATATACCAAATAATTAAACACACATTAAAGGTTCCTGAGGTAAAATTACGCGAAACTATGTCTTACGTGGATCTAGCTAAAACCGTTGGTTTTAAAGGTGCTAATTTATGCTCTTGATACTAACAATTGATACGGTTACTGGTCATAATACAAGAATTCAGAATAACCTTAATTATTAACAGACTAGCAAGTTCATTAATGCTAATTTCCTGAAGTAATACACGTAATTAGGATCCTGTTTTTCCACGGTTCAGTGCACCCTTTTGAATTCAACTGACCTATGACAATAATAATGTTATTATTTCCAATTTTATCTGGCGCCCTTGCACTACATTTTTACACGTCCGCTACTGCTAACATACAATATAATTACAGACTTAACAAGTGTAGGTTTGAAAATAGTGTGTTTACGTGAATGCATTTAAAATAACAATATACGGAACACATACATCTACTATCACTGTTTGGTCTATAAATAAGTAAAGCGCACTGACTCTTATTACTATATCCAGATTTTGTACAGATCTACAACACATATCTGTAAATTTCTTATTATTCAGTTCAGCTAGTACCTCACTTAGTAGTTCATTTACATCGTAAATAAATGTTTTTATATAACAAATAATATTTAAATTGCAATGATAATTTTCCTAGTATTGACATTTTGCAAATATATAACCTAGTTTGAAACTTACGGTTTAGTTTAGACTAGATTTATAACACGCCATAATCTTCTTTTATCATATCTGCTGCCTTTTCTCCAATCATTATAACGGGTGCATTAGTATTCCCACTGGATATCTCAGGCATAATAGATGCATCTACAATTCTTAAACCATCTATGTGATGAACTCTTAATCTTTCATTAACAACGCCATCAGGTCCCATGGGACAGGTTCCCACTGGATGTTGTAAAGACGTAGCAGTGTTTACTACATAACAATCCCAGTACGCATCTGTGCCCCATTTCAAATTCTCACATCCCTTAACATCTACCTCCACAACCCTACCACCGACGCTCCTATAGAACGATGCTTGTGCTATTTGTGTCACAAATTTAACTCCCTCAGCGACAGATCTTATATCTTTCCTATTTCTAAAGTAACCCAATTTTATTACTGGATCGTCAAATGGGTTAGTGCTTTGTATACTCACTGAGCCTCTTGACAATGGATGTAAGAATACTAAAGACGTGAAGTCTATTTCTCTAATCTTATTCGCATTTCCTATAGAGAAACAGAAACGTTTGTCATAATTTGCAATAGTTTGACATCCGTAATAAACCCCAGCGGCTGCAGTGGCGCCTATATGAATGTTGAAAATTTGGAATTGTGGCTTATGTTTAAAACGATCAGAATGAGTATGATTCAGCTTAAAAAAGCCACATTGTATCGGTGTTGGATAAGAGTCTAGCTCAGCACTGATGAGGATATTTTGAATAGCTGTACCAATTCCTTTCCGTCCTGTTATAGCTAATGGTACCGTTAAATGATCCTGCAGTCTTTTACCAACAGGAAGATCAGCAAACGGTTTAATTTTAAACTTCTTTAAAGTTTCTTTGGGTCCGATACCAGATAAAATTAGAAGTTTTGGTGTATCAATAGAACCGAGGGACAGTATAACTTCATTCCTAGCATAAGCATTTATAATATCTCCGTTTCCTAATGCAACGCGAACGCCGTGAGCTCTAAGCGATCTAGGGTCAATATGTACTTTAATAACTCTTGCATGCTTCGTTATGAAGAAGTTGCCCCTATTTTTAGCAGGTCTTAGATAAGACTCCGCTGTACTCGACCTTCTACCATTTGCGAAGGTGAAATGTGGTCGAGCTATACCAAATATTTCAGGTCCATTATTTTCTAACACTCGTTTGACGCCTATTTCTTCGTAGGAGTTCAGTACTATTTCATCTATTTGCTGAAAATATCGGTTAGACACTGGCCGAGATACAGCCACGGGACCAGTTCTTGAATGGAGTTGTGCGTTTCTTGGATTTTCAAACACAGAAGAATCCTTCATACCTTCGAGTTTCAAGAAGTATGGCATTACAGAGTTCCAGTTCCATCCAGGTGCAACGTCTCCCCACTCGTCGTAGTCTTTCGGTACTCCCCTGGAATAGATTTCGTAGTTATTTGAGGAAGATCCTCCCAACATTTTCCCACGTGTAATGGGTATGTAGCCACCGGGATGTGTACTTCCTACACCGGGGTCCAAATAACCTTTATAATTCCAATCGTACTCCGTGTTCGCTAAAAAGCCGAAGAAACTCGGTATCTAAAATTATAAATTTATTAATTCAAACAGGATTCAAGAAAAAAAAAGAATTAGATAAGATTGATTGAAGTATGTTCAAAAAAAATTGCATTACACCAATTTTTATAATTTTGTAAAAAAATACCTGTTTACATTGTACTAAGAAATTAGTGCATTGAATTATTTTTTTTTCCAGATTGAGACGTATTGATTTATTGTCCTTAATTAGTAGAACACCTACAAAATATATTGAATATTCGAGAAGATAAACAGCAGCAAATAAAACAATAATCAGTTTGTCGTGCTGGTATATAAATTTATAACGGATCCAAAACGAAACATAAATCTTACACACAAAACAGACCATATGTGCTAAACTAAATCGTAAAGTAAAAAGTATTCTCACCACACTCGCTGGTGGTGGATCTCCTCCAGCTTCAAGAAGAAGTACTTTCCAATGGTATACTTCACTAAGCCTCGTCGCAACCACAGCACCGGCAGAACCAGCGCCAACCACGATGAAATCGAAAGTATCGCCATCTAGCAGGATATTTAGCGATCACATAAGAGATATTTATTCAAAAATACACAATAGACATAACAAAAAATATGTCGAAAATCGATTTTACATTGAAAAAATTTAAATACTGTCTGTAGTTTACGTGAGTACGCATTTAAATAAAACACTTTAACGGTTTAAAACGCGATATGCATTAATTAAACTTATTTGAAAATCATTTTAACTACGGCCCGACGTTTGGGATGCTTTGCAGCAACCGTTGTCACGGGGACATCTGAATCTGGCGGGACTTGAACCGGCATCATCACAGCGTCGTTAGAATCGATTTTAAATTTTTACAATGCCATAATTTGCAATAACATGTGAAGAATATTAAAAGTTTTCGAAAGAAACATTTCACAATGCTCCTTTAGGGTCTCAGCACACGGTGGGGAGGGGAAGGGGATCGTAACCCAAACCCCCCTCCCCCGGGCGGCCCCCCGGGGGCCCCCCCCCCCCCGCCCGGAAAAGAAGGGTTTAAGGCGGCCCCGGGGGGCCCCGGGGGGGGGGGGGGGGGCCGGGGCGCCCCCCCCCCGGCGGGGGGGGGAAGGGGGAAAAAAAAAAAAAAAAAAAAAGAGGAGGGGGGGGGGGGGGGGGGGGGGGGGGGGGGGGGGGGGGGGGGGGGGGGGGGGGGGGGGGGGGGGGGGGGGGGGGGGGGGGGGGGGGGGGGGGGGGGGGGGGGGGGGGGGGGGGGGGGGGGGGTGGTTTTTGTGTGGGGGGGGGGGGGGGGGGGGGTATAAAAAAAAAAAGGGGGGGCCTTTAATCGTAATAAAGTCCTTTATTCCTTAGGGCTTAGACAGACCCTATATTGTACGTCAAATAACTAACCCAATCATGATTTGTCCACCCTTAGCGAAACTTAAAAATTTCCAAAGATCTTTGGTAATATGAAATTGATACTCATAACACGGTCTAATTATTATTCAGTAGCAGACGTTGAAACGACGTCCTTGAAATAATGACTTTACTTTATTTCTATGGTCACAACTATAACATTTAGGAATGTAGGTATTTTGTAATCTTAGTTAACGGCATATCACATGGCCAAAATTGTTTTATAATTAGTTTTAGATGCTAACTTTGTTGATTGTGCCATTTGTTTTTGTGCTAACATTGTTCAAACAATAATAATTAATTAGGTTATCTTTAGAACTTAGTGCAGAATCTATGCCATTCTTCATTTTGGTTGAAACATATCCTTATTGCTGTTTCCATTAAATATCTATTTTATTAATATTTTCGCAACATTTTATAAACAAAACATTGATGACGTTTAGCTTACGAGGTTCAAATCCTGAGCATAGGCGGTTTCATTTTCAAAAAATTCTAATGTCATGTGTTTTATTATAAGTATATTATATATAATATTATACGCAACTTAAAAAACTCTACTACTACAAATATATTTCTACGACCGTTTTAATTTCTGGGGTTCAAACCCAATACTTCTTATCCTATCACATGCTTGCATACATAGTGATACGTCTCGATTGTATCTCGTAGTAACATATCAATTCTGAAAAATGAAATTCAATTTGTATATATTTTTTTAAATAATAACTTTTTTATTAAAATGGGGTAGGCGATTAAAGCGTAAATGAGAAACAAACATCCATCCTTTATATCTGTCTACTTGCGTACCAGCACACTCTGGTAGAATATGAATAAAATAGGGTAATATTCAAACTACCAACCTTTCAAATGATAGGACGCAGGCCACCCTGCCGGAGTTATAGCCTGGGATAGAGCGAAAATTCTTAACATCCATTGCATCCAGGGTTTCCATCTGGACCTGACTTGGATAAACCCAAGAACTTTATTCGTTATAACATTTAAATTCAGCATTTCCACAATTCGAAGTATTCAAGATAAACGCGCGAAAATTACTGTTCATAGAAATATATAAGAGAATAAAGAGTTAACACAACAAAGTTGAATAAATATAATAGGAAATAAAAAAATATTTAATCCCTTCGCGCCCGACCGAATAGCACAAACGCTAGTTTTAAATTAATAGTAGACATCATTAATTGACGAATTTCGCGCCATTCCACCAAAGGCCGAATTTTATAAACTGGATCCTTGTATTTATTTCGCCTTTTGTCGGCCAAATCTATTATATAACTTAACTAGTTGCATTGCATTAGTTTGGGTATTGTGAGCAATGTACTTATGAAAATTACACCTTCAGATATAAACACGAACTTGATATATTTTTTTTGTAAACATATCTAATACTAACTGATGCCGCGACTTCGTCCGCATAGAATAGTTATTTTGGCCATCATAATTACTTGAATTTTTTCACTCATCTTTTCAAATTTTACCTGTATACTGGGAAAATCTCACATATTATAATCAAATAAGTAATGATATTTTTAGAATATGTTATAATTATACGTGTTTTCTAAAGTTACTATTATTTTATATTTGCCCCTGTATGCATGTAGGGTACATACTTGCAAGCGGCTACTGCTTAAATACAATATTGTTTGTTATTTCTTTGGATAATTACAAGACATTTTTGCACATGCCTTGGCTATTGTAAGTAAATTTAAATATTTATCTCTTTATTTCAAAGAATAGGATACTTTTTATTATTTTTTTAAATTTAAAAATTCGAAAATAAATTGTTCGACAACAAAGAGCAAAAGCACGGACCGCTGACGGTTCAAGTCCTGCCCGAGTCGAAAAATTTTTTCAATTTATTTTAGATTTTTAAATTTTATAGTGCCTTCACGTGCAATAACATGTGAAAAATATTTAATTTTTCATTTTTTTTAATCTTAAGTAAATTTAAAATTCATTAATAAAGTGCATTAGCATTAAAAAAAATATTTAATCTACTTTAGGCCGTTTTATTAAATATAATCATAATTTTATTAAAATATTAATGTATTAATCGTTTTTAATAAATTGGCCAAAATAACTTTCAGCACAGCAGACAGTGAAACTAAAGCCTAGAGTTTGTGCGTCTTTCCGCGCGGTTTTCCATTAGGCATAATTAAAAACACAAACAAATTTATACTCACCTATCCGTAAGTACCTATTAACGACGACCCAAATAATTTAGGTCTTAGCTTAAATACCACTAAAAGTCAAGTGTTTTAGCTAATAGCTGTTAATTTGTACAAGGGCATCTAGTTTGGAGTAATGACTATGTGTTTCCGATATACTTAAAGACAGTTTAGAACCCACAAACTCGTATTTGATAAGTATTTTATGTTTTTTATCCCTTTACCGACTTATTTCCATTGTAAACTTTTTCATTAATTAAGCATTTTTTTTACCTTTAACGTGTAAGTGTTTATGCGCTTTTACTTAAATAATAGACGAAAAGTAAGCAACGTGGGCACAGTCAAACATACATCCATTGAATATTCCATTATACTAGAGTTAACTTTAAGTTAAGATTATTTGTAGCTATTTCCTTAAATTAAAGATATAAAATTTCAAGATTATAAGAATTAAATTTAAAAAGTCAAGCGGTCAAATGCGCAATGGCGTAGTACGATTGTAGTAAATCTGAATTTATAAATAAACAACACATTTCACATAATCTGGTATTTGAATATAAAGTAGCGATTATGTTTAGCTTAACTAGGTCAGGGTCGCCAAGGCTAAACACAAACCGGGTGGATGGCCTAGACAAGCCTAGAACAAATCTTGCGTCCCTTTTTTAATATCGTGTAAGGATGTTTAAATTTTTTTTAATATCTCATAAAATAACTTTGACTACATATAAAACATTGAATACATGAAATTTAATTCCTTTTTTTATAGATAGCATCCTCACCGAGCCAATATGTTTCTATTCAATTTATAATTTTCCTAAAATATTGGACTTCCTTCGAAATTTGCATATCAAATGGGTGGTAAAAATATCGGAATTCTGTTCGAGTACAAACACGTCCACAATGAAAAAGTCGTGAAGTACTGTCTTAGTTTACGCGAGTAGTAAATTTAATAAAAATCAACGGTTTAAAAGGGAGTCTCCCCGTGACCACGGCTGCTGCAAAGCATCCGAAACGTCGGGCCGAAGTTAAAAATCATTTTCAAATAAGTTTAACTAATATATGGCGTTTTAAACCGTTAAAGTGTTTTGTGTTGTGTGGATTTTCGAACATCTAAAGCTAAAGTAAGTCGATAGCGCATATTGATTAGATTCTTGTATGGGAGGTATTTATACCATCAATACTTAAACACCATGCTTGTTTGTCCTCTTCTATCATAGAAAAACCCGTTTAGTGCAATTATCAGCAGCGTTTTTACACCAGCAGGCGTGACGGGTCGATCAAGTTGCAGTTACGCTGCGATTAAGTTTAAATTCAGCACCTAGACGTCAAAGGGAGCGAGTTCTTCTACCTTTACTATTTTTGTCCATACATGGGCTGAATTAATAATCGGTATCCTATTAATTTAAAAACATTAGCTTTTAAAAGAATTATCGTTTCTCATTAATTATAGAAAGCCTTTTTTTTAATTATATCTTTACTCTAACTGAATCTACTGAACTATACATAATATTTATAGTCTTTAATATTTTACTATCGAATGCCTTTTCGTTAAACTGACCAGTGTCAATTGTCATACATTCAAATTCTAAACAAACAAATCTTATAGAGGTTATAATTTTATTTTGATAGCCTGAAACTAAGTCTAAAACCGCAAAATATCAAATAATGTTGACCAAGCAATTTAGTTGATTAATTAAACATAACGTTTAATAAGTCAGTTAATAATTTAACAATGGATCTTGTAGAATTGACATCGGAAATGTCATTAAAAGAGTAAGATTTTCCTTCGTTACCAAATACTTGCGATTTATTTTTACGATTTCTACTTAATTTATTATATGTGACTTTAGAAATACCGGTGCCACGAAGACAAAACGTGAAGATTATATAGATTGGAAAGAGTACTTTATGGCAATTGCATTTTTGGCGGCAAAACGCAGTAAAGATCCATGTTATCAAGTCGGTGCCTGCATAGTAAATAAGGAGAATAAAATAGTTGGTATTGGGTATGTTCTCTATTATATTGTTCCTCATCTGTTTATCACCTCAGACCTCAATGTTTAAAAAACATAGAGTTAAACTCAACAGGTACTGGTTTCAAATCCCTGGAAGAAATCTGTTGGTCGGACGGAACACAATAGTATAATAATTGCCCGGTTAATAAGAGTGATTCCAGAAACAGACAGACAAACTGTGTACGAACTGCATCTGCCACTTTTACATTGTTGTTACAAAATTACTTTTTATTTTAACTGCCAATAAAATTGATTAACTGTGACTGCACCATAGGGTATGGAAACGGACCAAATTTTTCATGAATGATTTAATATTTAGTCTGTAAATAATATCTTTTTTTTCATGAATTTTAGGTACAACGGTATGCCTATAGGGTGCAGTGATGATGAATTTCCTTGGGCAAAAAATACTCCATCTCCTTTAGACAGTAAAACTCTTTATGGTACAGTATTTAATAAACTAATGGTTAACTATTACGTCAAAGTCCTTTATGATTGCACAATATAATATACATCCAACATGAAAGCCCCATCTTATAACTTATTTGTATTTAATGTTAATTGAATACAAATAAGTTATAATTAATATGAATTTATGGATTTCAGTGTGTCATGCGGAAATGAATGCAATATTGAATAAAAACTCAGCAGACGTCAAGAACTGCACGATATATGTGGGTCTTTTCCCTTGCAATGAATGTGCAAAAATAATCATACAATCTGGTATTAGTGAAGTAGTTTACCTGGCGCATAAAGGTTGGGATAAGCCAAAATATGCAGCATCTAAAATTATGTTTGAAGCAGCAGGAGTAAAATACTGGTAACCTAATAATCTTTGCCTTTATATAGCCACTAGCTATGTCAGCGACTTCCTCCACGTAGAAAAGTTATTTTGTTTCGTTTTTGCAAACCCCTTCATCTTTATAAACTTAAGATGTTACCCACGACGATCCCTTTCCCGTCGTTCTTGCAAGTTAATCTTAAAAGATAGACATCTATTTGTCTCTCGTCGCAGACTTTTTTAAGATCAGTTAAAGAGGAATTATTCTTTCATCCATATTTTTTGAGTATCTTGAACCATTTTTGCAGTTAGTTTGCTTTGGCAACTCTGGTAAAATATAATTTTAATATTTTATATCTTTTTACAGGCAATTCATACCGAAAAGAGAGAAAATTGAAATATGTTTTACGTCTGTTACATCCAATTCATTATAATGGTTTAGGAGTAAGTATATTTTGTGATGGACTTTTAATATGGTGCAGAATGTTGTAATTTTCATTATAAATTATTTAAAAAACATTGACATAATATACTGTTTAGTATGTTTAATATTTATATAGTTATGACTCATTTTATATTTGATATGATATTTTGTTTGTTAATGAAACAGAAATAAATTTGTAAAATAAATTTTATTACTTTATTTACAAGACGACGGGGCTACAAAATACTCCAATCATCTGGGGAAAATAACAATTTTATGGAAAACAATACGTTAAAAGGCCCTTAGTGGCAATTTGTATTTGATGTTTGTTTCAAATTTAAGATTGCAATATGTCATGAAAGATACGATTTGCTCAGAATAATTTGAACACATGAGAGACAAACAAATCTACCATAATCCTTTCAAGTAAATTCAATAAATTCATTCTGTAACCAATTATTTTAAGAGCAGACAATATATCGGGCATCACAATTTATTGAATAATCCCTAAAATTTATTAATATTGGTATCATTTTTTATATCTGGAATACATCCCAAAAAGTAGTTTTCTGACGGAAGTAAGTATTCACTTCTTCAATTTAAAGGGTAGTTTAAACCTCAATACAATAGAATTATTGTCAAAAAACAATTTACGAAATACATACCAATCATATTATGTTTGATACTACAGCAATAATTATATAATTTACACAGAGTGTGTATTTAAAATGTATAAAAGAGTTAGCTGAAGACATCGCCATAATTCCAATAAGTCGAAGCGCATACCGACGTACGGCTTAAGACATTGAGTCGAGATATATTTTAAACTAACTGAATTTTACAGTACCTTAAAATTATCGTTTATTTACAAAGCGAACCTCTAATCAGTTATAATTATTGCGTGAGGTTAAAACTTACATTTCACACATTTATACATTAAAACCAGAGATTTTATTACAAATCTTAAATATAACTTGAAAATTGTTTGAACACTTGAGGCCATGCAGCTTAACAGATAACAAGAAATATTGATCGAAAACAAAAACCCGACTGTAAAAATCCCTTATATCATTTTTTTGTTTTTCCCGCCCTTTTAAAAATTTGCCTTAAAAACAGACTATATTAGTGTGAGACAAATGCTTACATTTCACGTCTAACCAATGAAAAATAGTTTCAATATTAACCTGTATTGTACAGTCGGGTCAAAAACAACAAATACATTAAAAGCTAAACCAAGTGAAGCAAAATAGTATTAAGAAATAATAGCTAGATTTTCTATCAACAACAAAGGGGGGAAGCGAAAATTTCTTAAGACTAAATGCAAGGAACTTAAAAAAAAATAAAATGATTCATAACAAATTGTAGGGGTTAGTTACGAAAATAGGATCCTTTAGCTGCAGATGGAGAATTCAGCATTTAATGCTAAATTTAAAAAAAACTGAACGAGGGTATGGAACTGAATTCAAAAGTACTTACAATTTGCTTGTATTTGAAAATGGCCTAAACATTCTTATTAGGTTCTGTTCTACATGTTTATAGTTTTCAATTTTATTTGAAATGTAAAACGATTAACTATACAATTCGCAAAATTTCCTTCAAATTAGTATTATTTTACAAGTCCAACAACGGAATCAGCTTAATATCTCAATCCAATTGCATTCTTTGTGACATCCAATAACACCCAAAACCAAACCACGCCTACGACTACGATTTTTAATAATAATTCACTATTTTTAAGAAATCGAGATAGTTTCATAACAAATTTTTGGTGTTCGAGAAAGAACCTTGAACTGGGATAAAAGACGACCTTCGTTTAAAAAAAATACTTGAACGTCTTCCACTAACTAAAAATGTTGTAGTTTAGTAAACAGTAATATAAAAAGGAGGTAATTTTACCTAAATATAATCCAATAATGAGAAGTAAATGAAATTTAGACTACTTGAACTACTATTACTGTTAGAATAAAACAATTTCAATACATTCATAAATTTTGTACTAAGCTGCTAGTTGGTCTAGCATAATAGTACTGGTGTCATATTTTGAATTTAATTCGGTATAGCAACAAACAGTTTCATAATATCATGAACAAAAGATCTATTACGGTAATAGGAAATAACTTTAAACTCGGTTATAATTATATATATTATGATAGTGACCACAATTGTAATTTCTAGATTTCCGTGTTTGTAATGATTTTTAGCTGTGTTAATGTTTTGTAATTTCGAAAATTTTATTGTGTATCAATATTTGAGACCAATTGGTTTTCTCGTTGATATCTTTTAATTGGAACAAAATTTACAATCAAAATTTCTAAAACTTTTCAAGATAGGGCCAAAACTTAAAAAATTATAAGCTTTCATTTTAACCTGTTAAAATTGTTTAACTAAAGCTATCTTATTTTGCCGTAATAGACCTGTGATTATCTTACAACAACAAATAATTTGCTCAAAAGATCGTCCATTAAAAGCCCAAGGTATATGGTCTGAGGCATTGATCTTAGGACCTTAAGCCTATGGTGTAGACGTAACTACAAATGTCGACATTCACAAATAATGGTAATAATAAAGATAGTTCACATTAGCTACAGAATAATTATCTGCGCCTTACTAGAGCATAATTAGAATTATGCTTTCCAAAGAATTCTACTTCGTTATGTGTCAATAAAAGTCTGTGAAAATCCAAAATATCCTACACCACCGATGAATATGACCCTAAGATCTGAGTCTCACTATAATAGGATAACATTACGGCAATTGTTTAGTCTCATCAGTTGAGTTGTATCTCCTTGGGCTGAAGCGCGGCGTCGTCCAAGTGATTCTCCTCCTGCGCCGGCGCAGGCGGACTGAACGCTATAGCGTACTGGTACTTCGCCCTACACGCCTCAATGTAGGCTTCGATTTCATTTTCGCAAGGGCCGAAGTCTCCGTCTCTTAGACTTTCTAGTACTTCAATGCAACCCTGAAAAGTGAAAGTTGATATTATTATATGAGTAATGTTATATTAAAACTTTACCCAGCTGCTATCGATCTCTTTACTTCTTATAACTGCTGTATTATCAAAACTTTGATAGTCGGTATCTTATTTGTCTGAGGTCTTAAAACATTGAAGAGATTTCGTATTTGCATACCTGTATAGAACATTGCGGCGTATCGAGTGAGGTGGCGAGGGCAAGCGCTTCTTTCGTGCGTTCAGGCACAAGCCGGCGCAGCGCTCGCGCACCCCACAACGCCGCCGCCTGTGACGTCTGCGCACACTTCGAAACGTACTCCTCCGCTATTGTCAGCGCACTACGGTCACCGAACATCTGCAAATCGTTGTTATAATATGTAGAATATTTAATATAAAAATGCGTACTATTGAATTTACTAACTAAGTATACGTTTTAACTCAAAATAATTATTTAGATTTGATATTGGCATATATTATGTTATTTGATTACACAGTAATAAGAAACATATATACCGTCTTCGTTTCCGCGTTTATGACTTCCACAACGTGTGGATTCAACTCGGACATCTTCTCCTCGAGCCAGCACTTAAACCTCACTAGGCAATCGTGCAAATGCTGGTGATTGCTGTCCAGCTGCCACGCCCGCTTTATACTTTGCAACATTAGCAGAGGCTTTTCTGAAAAGTCAATAATTATTTAATTTTAAAACTGGGATCGATAATTATTTGTATTCTTTGGTTTACGCGGCCGAAACATTTTATTTTTTGTGCTTACAAATAGTCTTAAAACCATCGTAACATTGTCTACCCCCTGATATTAATTAATGGCTTCATTAACAACTTGGAAACCTTTCAAGAGTCACAATACGCTTTGTTTTAAACTCGCCATGATAACGAAAGAAGTTCACTAAATTTGAAGTAAAAATTAATTGTATGAAATACCTTTTCTATAGTATATTTCGAAGGCCATTAAATATGTGTCTATTCTATCGGCTGCCAGCTGCCGAAGGGGTAAAAGGAACTTTATCGCCTGCTCTAACGGGTCTTCCGCCTGAAAACCAAAAACATTTATTTCAACGCCATCTAGGTCCAGTTAGAACAACAGGAGCAATGGAATACATATTATTATGCAATTTATATCATAATATGAAACGCAACTCCATTTGTTGCAATCCTTGGTGTAGCAATATATGGTTAATATATAATAAACCAACAGATCGTGGGTTCGCTCCCTACTGGATCATCAACATCGTGTTTCTAATAAAATTATTTACTTTTTCTGAAACTTATGACTTCGTCTAAAAATCTGTATATAAAACGAATAAATCCTAAAATATTGTTGTAGATATTTTATTTACAAAGTTTTACACACCCTAATATTTGCATCGATAATGTATGTATTAATATAATTCAGAATCACTATGACCAAAGGTAAGTAGGCTTAATAGATAAATCAAATTTATTTTGTTCATACTTCAACTGTTTACCGTGGATTCAAACATTATCATTAATTTTTGAATCTTATAAAATAATTGTGCAAAGGTCTATACTATGATTCATTATTGAGATTAGAGATGGCACTAGCAGTTTCCGCTGTAGGAAAGAACTATTTAAATATTTTGCAATTTACCCTGGCAAGCTTGTCAGGTATGAGTTCATCTAGTTGTGGTGCCTCAGGGTCTCCTTGCTCTTGTTCTCTTCTCGCTTTGTGATGCTGTTCACGTTTCACCTGAAATTCACAACGACAAAAATCAATACGATTTTGAGAATGTTTTCCAATCAATCTAAATCATTATTTTTATCTTCAATGATAAAGAAGACAAACAAAAACATAAAGAACTTTTATTACAAACGAACTACTTAAAGTTTAGTAAAGACACATAAAAGGCTCCTTACGCCATAGCGCGTACGTCATTAATATTTTAACATGCAAGGAAGCATTAAAATTTATGCAAATCAGGGATTCGCACCTGTACTTGCGCGGCCAGCGCGCTTTCCTGTTCCGCTTTGCGTTTCGCTTTCCTCTGTTTGTTCCTGAGCTTCTTCAGTTCTGACGGCGCTAAGTTTTCTGTTGACAAGTAAGAAAATATTAATATGCGGGTAAATAATAAAAGAAGAATTATAACTCCGTAAAACGACTCGACATAGAAGAAAACAACGAAAAAGAACAAAACCTCCGACTTTATCACCAGCAACACAAGTTGGCAATCCATCACGTTGGACGATAGAGAATCAACCAAAAAATAAATACCTACGTATTTGCATAATAAAGCATATCAATTATAAATATACTGTCCGTTATTCCAAAGCGTTATTAAAACACAATACTAACGTGAATCCCTATGATGTGCGAAAAAATACCAAAAGCAGTTTGAGATCGTGGTTAGAATATAAAACAATATCACACCTACTAACGTATTTTTTTTACTAAGAATATAATAACAGACTCGTGTACATTTTTTAATAAGAAGAAGAATTACTTTTAAAATTATGAAATGAAATTTTAATGCGACTGAAATAATTAGAGAGAAAAACAAGAAAACATAGAATAAAGAATATGCAACGATAATAGCGCGATGGTCATTTCTAGACCAACGTGGTGTAATCAGAAACCCATTAGACGTAATGTATAATAAGATCCGCATCAAGACGAGCGATCAGCGGAATCGATTAACACAACAAACAATTAAAATTATAATCATATCCACATATATGCAAAGCGGATATCAGACATCGCAATTGATACTTACTACTAATATTATAGGAGAAGTTTGTCAGACCGGATACAGGTATTTACTGTCGGATATTTGTTGTTTCACGCAAGTACTATTTGATAGAATTTAAGGAATATTTTAATAAATCCATATTAGAAAATTGAGGTATTTATTATTCAAAAATGTCAAAACCCACTTAGGTATACGCCATCAATAATGTCTTCTTAGTGTGATGGCTTTCCCATTTTCAATGGTTAGTGTTAATGTTTATTAAGCCTCGTTCATTGGGTTCAAATCCTTGTAATAAATATAATTTTAAAACAGCTTCAGTCGCGAAAGGCCGTAATATACAGTTTGTAAATAAAAAATCTACCAATAAAACAGACGTAAACGAGTCGCCTCTATACACTACGTGCGGAAAAGGATTTACTTCTCCCTATACGGATGAACATCTTTCATTAAATAATGAGGATAACAGCTGAACAATTATCATCTGATCTATATCCGTCAATTGAGCCAATAAATGGGCCACGTCCTGCCAACTACCGCGTGCTGACGTCACATCCGCTTTGCATTTCTGATAGAATCGAGATCACTTATCAGTTATCATTAGGCCAAGTTCGACACTTAATTGATTGCTACTAAACAATATATCTGAGGCAATAATAATATAATACAACCGAGAATGAGTTTGTATAATAACTTGTACAGTATTTTATTTCTAGTTAAACTGACTTGAAATAAAATAAACAACATTGTCTATACTAATCTTTAATGTTACTTTACTAAAGAAATGAAAATTTATATATACGTGATATTTTTTACAGCTTATTGTCCGTGGCAGTATGATTCAGCCGAACTATTTAACAGTTCTAGCGCACACTTTTGTCTGGAAATGGTTTTTCTTTTGTTATAAATAAGTATAATAGAGTAGTTCAATATAGTAAGAGATGCAAATCCTACTATCGTCAGACACAAGAATGACTGTATGTTTAGGATTCTTTTATATGTACTAACATTATAAAACCGTAGAGTTTGATCGTTTATTTCTACTCTATATAGAAAGCATATGCTCTAATACTACTGGTTCGAAAAATTCTATTTGTGTTGGCTGATAATGTATAAAGCTGAGGAGGTCGTTTGCACAAATAAATATGATGCCCAAAATAACTATTACACGCGGAGGAAGTTGTGGGCACGTTTATTATAGATATATAACGGTTTAATTATATTTAGGCCTGATCTCATTACAGAGAAAATTGTTTCCAAATACTACATCTGATAAGGCCGCTTTACGTAACGACATTAGCATGAGTTTTCCCACGAGCTTTTAAGCACGTATGCAATCGAATTCTGTCACTTCTCATATCACAGCGCATTATCTCTGTAACTAAGCCGGTTAAGTTTCGCAAGCTTTGAGTATTAAGGGCACCCACTTTAGGTACACCGCCCTGCTAGAGCGCTTTGTTCATAAATTTTACCTTAAACGTTGCTAACCTGAGTGTACCTAATCGAGTGAGACCGTTTTATGGCTGGTCTATAGATACGAAATTGAGATATTTAACTCTTTTTAGCATAAAGCAATACGTGAAAAGATATATAAAATGTTCTTATTTATGAGAAAATACATCGGTTAGATCCACAAACAAACAGACAAGCATGGGGACTTGATGGATATGAAATACCCCAGCCACATAATACCTTATGAAGATACGCTGTCGGCCTATTTTGTCTTTAGATAATCGGAAACCCACAGACTGAAACTAACCTAAACGTGAAAAACTTTACGGCTATTTCATCAATCTGCGGGACGGTGACGGTGGTTCGTGACCCGGTCGGGATTTTGATATTCCTACCACACTTTAATATCTAGATTTTTAGACAAAGTCCAACAAGTTGCAGACAAATTGTAAATTGATTAGAAACATGTTGGGCCGAATGTTAGGGATCGAAAACGCGCCCGTTGATTATTAGTCAGAAATTGCTACCAGTAGACCAACAAGCCCATCAAAATGAATGTACCCTACACAAACAATTAATTCTTTTTAATTACACAGAAGGAGACATGATTAAACTCCTTATGACATCTTTTATTCTACAAATAAAACGAACAGTGTTTATATTAGATAGGTTGAATACATGGCGAGTCGTGACAGTATCACACGAACGCAAATACCACATTCTGGCATCTGATGGGTGATCACTTAACCTGGGAAGACGTATTGAGGATACTATATTTCATTTGTGATATTCGTTATATGTCTTATCTCAGTAAATAATGTCTATAAACCAGCAGAGAAAAAAACTCCAGAGGACCAATACATTTTATTTAAGACATAAAATATACATTTTGCTCTGTTTTACAGCTATTGTTAATTAATCATATGAAAAATCATAAAGCTTATAGAAATAAGTATTTAATTGCTTCACTAAATATTCTGACATCGATATTGAAACGAAAGTAAAAAAAGATATAATTTATTCTAAGCTATATTATTTACTTAATATAAATGTCCTTGGATGAGATAAAGCGGCAATTTTCAAACCTTATGACTAAGCGTAGTTTCGACAGGTACTTTGTACAGTGGAGGAGTGCTCACGACTTTGACTTGTCTAAGTAGAACGAAGTTAAACTGAATTCATGTATGGTGTACCTCATATTAAAATCCAGCCGTTGATTAAAGGCAAGTAAAACATCGGATTCCAGTCATTATAATTTATATATAACATTAAAGTATAAAAATGAATATTATTTAACACTTAAATTTTTCTTTCTTTTAAAACATTTTATCGGTTTAAAACGCGATACATATTAGTTTAACTTATTAGGAAATTATTTTAACTACGGCCTGACATTTCCTTTGCTTTGCAACAGCCGTGGTCACGGGGAGGTCATCTTTCTTCCTCTCTTTCTTTCTTCTCAATATTATCAAATCAACAGTGCAAACACTAAACTACTAAAATGATGAAAAGAACCAGACTCATAAAGTAATATCCATATATTATATACATCCTTTGTGTAATAAAACAAAAAAATAATAAGTATTCAATTATTAGTAGCACTGCAGTAGTTGGTCTAATGTAAACGGACGCGAATATTTACGTAAGAGCATTGTCTTGAAGTTGTCTAGGACACGTCGCACACACAAATTGCTGCTCTAATTCTCTGCTCTTTCGAAAAACTAATGAAATCATAGCTCAAGAGCTAATGATTTATCATTTAATAAATGGGTGTTATTATTTTATTTATTTTTTTAGGGTTTTCGATTTAGTTTTTACAAGTATTTGTTCATAAGTGTACTTTGTTGACTTAGCTATAATCATAATATACTTTTTACTAGATTCGAAGGCTCTTAACATAATCTACTGTTTTTGACATCACGATATAACCAGTATTTTCTAGTCGTTCATAGATTCTTGTACACGTAGGTATGCGTCGATTTAATCAAGAAATCGAGATATTAACGACCTGGTAGGATAATCCAAATCCCGTCCAGGCCACGAACCCCCGTTAACAGATAAAAAAGTCGTAAATTTTAATCGGTGCGTAAAAGTTTCAAGGACGTCACGCCTATCTGTCCTTCTCCATCATAAAAAAAGTTAAAGACAAAATCAGTTGACTTGTTCCTTTATATTACCATTGCTATACGTATATTTATTAAAGTCAGAAGTGTATTCTCTTAGACTACAGTGACCATGGTGCGCCCGCGACGGCGTTTGTTGTACGCGGCAGGTCGTAAGGTCAACCATTTTAATAACGAAGAAATATCATGCAGGAAGTATAATTTTAAAGTCTATATTAAGATATATTTTATAAGGTGATAAATGAAGATATTTTACAAAGATTTAAATGTGAACTATGAATAATTAGTTAACAGTTGTTTTATCTTTTTTTTATATATGATGGAGGAGGACAGGCAACTTACACCTACTTGATGGTAAGTGAAATACCGCAAGACCCCAAGAAGCGCTGTCGGCTTTTTGGCTTGGATACTCTGACCCGACTGAAATCGAAACGCGACCAAACTTCACGGCTTTTTCTTCTGTGGACGGCTGTTCGTGACCCGAACGGAGTTTCGATATTCCCATTTAATTATTTAACTTAAAATTGTTAAAGTTGCTTTCCTCGTTTTAGAAAAGAAAAAAGGTTTCTCTAAACTAAACTAAATCCTAAATAATTGAATTCCGGAAAGTATGAATGAACTTTTGAGTCGCGTAAAGAATTCAAAGGTTGGCAAAAATTCGAACGGCGCAAGTAGCCCTGACAACGCCCTGCGGCCTGCGCATGAGTGTCGCAATAGACCAGTGCACCGCAGCTGTTTTGATCCAGTTTCATATCCGAGCACTTGTCTTTTGAAATTCCTAATGAAGCAAGATTGTTTTGCGAAAAGCACTTGTAATGCCTACTGTACAAGATTACGCTTAGTATTATATTCCTACTAAAATCTACGTAAGGTTTGCACAAAACGAATTCGAAAAGAGATGCTAAAAGCTACTTACTTTGGAATCAAATAAAGTGATAATCGTAATACTTCGTTACGGTAGAAAATAAAACATTATTTTGCTTTATTCAAAGCATTTTTTAGATTTGCGTAATGTAGGTTTCGTGGGATTATATATTTCTTTCTGGTAATGTTTAGGTGCTTTTTATTGAAAAGGTAACCTTTAAGTATTGTCTATAGTTACAAAAATAGTACACACTTAAATAAAACACCGTTCGACCGTTTAAAATGCGAACTAATTCTGTTTTCTTTTAATTACGACCCAGTAATTCGGATGCTAAGCAACTGCGAGCTTTTTTGCACGGTTTTTTTAAATATATAAATTAGTTAGTTATGTATCGTCCTACAAATGTACAAAGAAGTTTTACATAGATTAAATTCTATGTATCGTTGACTTAATGCTGGAAGGCACGCGTGATATGTTCCACCGTGCTCGTGAAGCCAAGACATGAAGTCCTGAGATTAATGATCGTATTTAGCATCACGAGCCAATTGATTTCGAAAGACGCACTTGAGACACGTGCGTCTTTCATTTTATTTTAATTAATCTTGTTCATTATGTAAGAAATGGTAACGGACTGTTGCGGTAAGGAGTCGGCCTTGACTGTAAAGGTGCATGGAACAAAGGAGTTCTTTGCGGTGGAATGCTCTTATTAACCTTTCGCTAGATGAGGTAAACTAATTATGTTTATGTACTGACTTTGTAATATATTTTGACTTATATACAATACGTAATACATACATACTTAACGATGATATATTAGTTTGTTTCGGTTTTGTTGATTGGCAACTGTAAACCAATTTGTTTCTATAACGGTGGATATATGCAGCAGAAAAGGCCATACAGACAAGTTATTTTTTTAACTAACATTATATTAAAAAATACATATATTATACCCAATTCTTCTATAAAAATTAATGTCCAGATGTAAGCTACAAGTGTAGTAACTTTCACGCCAAATTTAATTAAAATGTGTAAAACTTTTTCAAAGTTGAAAGGGCACAAACACTTGCACAAACGATGATTATTACTACGAATAGTAAATTGTATACATTTATTAGCGCTTGACTCAAACCAACGTACTCGAAGATAAAAAATGGAAACCGATTTGAATGTTTAAAACATCGAACGACCTATCGAACGAAACAGGATGCGCGATCCTGCGCATGATTTGCTTACAGTCGAAGATGACCCTTCAATCGCAAAGCCTTTAATTATACAGACATAAATCACTGTGTCTGCCATAAGACATGTCACTTGACATTGAGACGCAGAATCGTGACCGTTCTACACATAAGCTGTGTGTATTCGCTGTACTTCCGTTTCTTAACGCCGACTGTAATTATAGTTGACATTACTAGAATGAGGTCATGTTTTGCGTTTCGCCAAACTGAACTATACTTCTATTATTAAGCGTTAATTATAGGTCATAAATGATCGAGTACTCATTGTGTATTTTTTATTGCTAGAACAAAAAACTATATAAAACTTAAATCTTTTACATAGATTAAGTGAAATCCCGTTTTCTCCGTGGGGCATGGGGGCGAATATGTTTCTTTGTCCGTTTCACAGATGAGTTTTCTTTTACAGTCAAGTTGTCGATTAGAGTTCTGCCCGACCCGAAACAGGTTACTGTTTCCCCGGGATTCGAACCCAGGACCTCTCGCACTTTACGCAATGCTAGGCAACACGTTTAAGCATTTAACTACAGAGGCGGTCAATTGTTATTACGTATAGAGAGAAGTAGATACGTCATGAAAACGGTTTTAAATCGTAATCTGAATGATTAAATTGTCTTAGTAAGACGAAGAAAAGGCTGCAGTGTTTAATAGTGTTGTAACAATCGTAAATGTTAATAACAGACCCGATAAAAGTTACTTTTTATTATGACAGTAGGTGGAAGCGCTATATGTACCTAAATCAAAGTGTAGAAAGCTGTTGCAGTCGGTAATACTATATATTTATATTAGCCACGTTATCTTTGTACCGTCGAGTATAAGTCTGAGAAATAGATCAAGTGCCGACAGTGAAACTAGGCTATTTAGCCGTTGTTTAGAAAGCCGATTGCAGGATATAGAATTGCTAATATCCAACTGGCCTTATCACCATTAAAACGAAACCAGCGATTTTGCTCAAGTATTACTTGAATGGACTATTATTATTGGAATAGTGGTCAGATCGAAAATTGTCGCTCAGGAAAATCCATTAACTTGCTAGAAGTGGGACACTTTGATAATATGATAAAAAGAGGGTAATTACGAGGCGCATAGTATCTTTTTATGATAGGGGATGTGTGGATGACAGACTAGAATGGGAGTTCACTTGAATGTAGGTGAATACGCCAGCCATAAAACATACTAGCTAAGTCAGCGACTTCGACCGCGAGAATCGTTATTTTGGGCACCCAACTTTGTTTTTGCAAACCCCTTCATCTTTATAAACTTAAACTGTCACCGTTCCGTACGTTCTTGCAATTTACATATTTTTTTGGGTATCTTGAACCGTTCTTGCAGCGAACGCCTCGGAAACCCATAATGATGAATAATTTTCCCCGTTTGTTTCCACATCACCCGCTGTTTCTTCGCTCCTATTAGTTACATCGCGATGTGTTATGGCCTATTTCGATAAATGCTCTACTCAACACACATGTAATTTTTTCACATTTCGAAAAAGGAGTTCCTAAGATATGCGCGTTCAAACATACAAACAATCTCTTTCGCCTTATACATTAGTATAGATAAATAAACAAGATGAACTGTTTAGATAAAACAATTTAGCGGTTTAAAACGCGATATATTAGTAACACTCATTTGAAAATTATTTTTAACTTCGACCCGACGGGACGGCTGCTGCAAAGCATGTCCAGCTTTCCAGGGGAAGTATGATCTGATCATGTTAAGCTTTAGTCGGTTTTTTCCTTTTCCGTACTATGAGAATATTTTAATATGCAAACATTGCAGTATTATCTATCTTAACTAATATATAAAGCTGAAGAGTTTGTTGTTTGTTTGAACGCACCAATCTAAAGAAAGACGGGTTCCAATTGAAAAATTATTTTGTGTTGGTTTGTGGTGTGACTAATAGAATAGAATAGATACAGCGGGAAATGTGAACAAAACGGGGAAATTTTTCATCTCTGTGGGTTTTTGATGCGAAAACGGTTCAAGACACCCAAATCTGAAAAATTTCCGCGACACTATATGTCTATCTTTTAAGATTAACTCGATGTCGTGGGCAGCTTAAATTTATAAAGATGTAGTGGTTTGTAAAAACAAATTTGTATGCCCAAAACAACTATTCTACGCGGACGAAGTTGCTGACACAGCTATTATACAATAAAGATAGTCATATAACAAGGTATCTCATACAATTACAAACAAAAACATTAATAGCGTTCGTAATATTTCTATACTTAACATATTTAATGAAACTTTCCCTTCAATTACCCTCCATCCTCCACTTTATACCAGTAAACATTAAATAACGAGCTTCATTAGAAATCAATTTCAAACATAATACTGTTGATGGAGTTTAATGATGTGTTAGCTGCTTATAAAAGTAATGATATCGTCAATAATATTAAGACTATTATTATGTTTATAATAGATTATGATAGAAAATTCAAAAGGGCAATTGCTGGCAGGTCTATCTATTACTGTTGAACGAAATTTATATAACAGGCCTTTCAGAGCAATTTAGGCGTTAATTGAGATGTGGAGACTAATAATAAAAAGACACTAATATACTTATAACTTATGTTTCTATATATAATATTAAATATGTTTTATTTTCAGGAAAAATACAGTTACTATAATAAAATATAAAGCTGTAGAGTTTGTTTGAACGCGCTAATCTCAAGAACTACTGGTTCGAATTGGATAAATCCTTATTGTGTTTGCTGGAGCATTTTTCGTCTATTGATACAAGATTGCTAGCAACAGGTGCTAAAAACAGTGCTGAATGTGGAAAACAACGGGGTAAAATATTCCTATATCTATAAGGGCTGCGAAAACGGTTCAACAAACCGAGAAATATGCATAAAATAATTGTTTCCTAAATTAAGTGCAATAAACAGCAATCCTCTTTAAAATATTTACAAAAATGGCAGCAACAATATAAGCCATCTTTTGAGATTAAACTCAAGACGGGACGCGGACAAAATCAATTATACAGCTGGGTTGTATACAAATTAAATTTTTAAGCCCAAGATAACTCCCACGCGGGCACTGCTAGTACATAATAGAGAT